CAAGACTAACAAGTAAAGTATCAATAGATTTGAATATGACAGTAAAAATGTCACAGAAGTGTTCATGTGCAACCAATAAATAGGGCAAAATCTGATGGTTCCTGCACAGGGCCAGATTGAGCTGGGTGCTATTGATGCTGCAGCATTAGGCCTACCAGGAAAATAGGCCCATGGAGAATTCCCTAAGCAGGGGAATTTCTGATGAAAAATTCCCCAGCTGGGGAATTCAAACTTTTGGAAAACTATTAAAACCCTGAAATTATGAAAGCTGTTCAAAAATTAAGAAAGGTTTGGAGCTGAAGAGGTTTGGAGCTGAAGAGGTTTGGAGCTGAAGAGGTTTGGAGCTGAAGAGGTTTGGAGCTGAAGAGGTTTGGAGCTGAAGAGGTTTGGAGCTGAAGAGGTTTGGAGCTGAAGAGGTTTGGAGCTGAAGAGGTTTGGAGCTGAAGAGGTTTGGAATGAAAATTACCCAACTAAGAAATACAAACTTTTTAAAAATTACAAAAACCCTGCAAAAACAGAAGAGAGACAAAAGTATTTATGATTTCAAAAAGCAGGTATCAATAAATTCCAGCTTGCTTCAAATTAAAAGCAGTGAAAAGGAAACCAGATCAGGGACACACAAATTGGTTGAGAGCAAACAATCATTCCTGAATTGAAGTTAAATCAAGGCCAATGGCCAGAAACAGGAATACATGGTGCCAACAAATCATGGGAGGAGAAAATCAAATCAAAGGTTTCCATTGAATCCATGCCACTGGCAGCAGAATAAAATTGTCACTCCTGTGCCCACTTTGAATGCCTTGTGTGGCCTCAAAAATCTTCTGAAGTGATTTCTTGGTGTTTGGAAAATTGTGATTGTTCATTTTTGAAACATCAGTGATTTATTAACACTTATGAAGTAAAAAAACAATTTTAATCATCCCATTCCCTCTTGTGCCTCCTTGGACAAATACCCACCACTTGAACATTGTTCCCTTAGGTTCCATGAATGCAACTGTCCGCTTTTTGAAGGGGATATGCTTTTTAAAACACTATGGCAATCTTGGTCCACCTAGTCAATCTTGGTGGAGCCATATTTTCTACAATGAGTTCCAGGAGCAGGAGCTTGGCAAAGTGAGTTCATTATTCTGGACATATGCCTGTTTATCTTGTGTTTGGAAAATAAGTCTTTATCTTGCCAGTTTTCAATATTAGAAATTCCACAGTTTCAATATTAGAAATTCCACAGTTTCAATATTAGAAATTCCACAGTTTCAATATTAGAAATTCCACAGTTTCAATATTAGAAATTCCACAGTTTCAATATGTATTTTCTAGTTTCTCCATTGCTCTATAATCTATATAGTCTATACAACAAATCATGGGAGAGAAAAATCCAATCAGAGGTCAATTGTATAATTGTATTTTTGTATTCCATTGTATAAACATTTTGGGGCTAATTGATACATATCTAAGTTGCTGAATGTTATATCTCTTGGTTTTCTTTATGGAGCCTCTCACTGCATTCTAATGTAGACACTACAAGTTTTTTTAATGATACCAATGAAAAACTTCAGAAGATTTCTAAATCTTTCTCAAAAATGTTGGCAGGAATAGAAAAAAATTATTATACTTTTCCCTTGCCTTAGTTTTCATTGAGAATAAATGCAATGTTTTATTTAAAGTGCTTATGGGCACAATGTTTTTTATATTCCAAGTTAGCCACACAAGAGTTGAATTTTGCTGAATTTTTGAATAAATGGAATATGTGGATGAAATTTTACATGCTGCCATCCAAGATACACTCAAAATTATGATAAAAAATTTCTGTTACATACAGGCACATGTACTTAATCATCATGCATTTTTTCATTAGGTAAATCTTTTGTGTCATGAGTGGAACAAATTATATTATAGAGCCCATTCCCAACCAGACACATCAAATTAACTCTCAAATGCACTGAGTTTAATGTTGAAGCATATACATATGGAGTATAATTTTGGAGTTTTTTGATTATTGGTTTTTACATAATTCAGACTCAATTTCATTGAAAGAGGGGGCCATAGTTTTAGAGTACTGTACATCTGAAACAGCTAAATCAAGACCTGTTACAAATTTCAAGCATTTTGACAAAATGCAGAGAAAAGTTCTGAAAGAAATAGTTATTGCAGTTCATTAAACCTGCCTTTGTACTAGGATAAATTCTTTACTTCCTTCTGAGTCAACTTATTTGCTCATACCTGTCTGTTCATTCAAATAGAGGAACATATCTTCTAGAACTGTATACTGTTTACTTGCAAGAAAGGCATACAATTTAAAATGTAGTCAAGGAATTTCCAAGATGTATTCCATGTTGTGCATTTTTTGAACACCTAGCCTTCTCAACAAAAATCTTTAGTCCTTCAAGAAATTGGGCCTCTCAATTTTTTTCATTCTTTCTATCATTTATGAAATAATTGCTATACAACCTATGCACAAAATCAGGCCCAGAGTTTTAGCATAATGAGATGACAGTCTAAAATGAGTGGATAAAAATAAGATTTCTTGAACATGGTGCCTATGGAGAAACTGCCAGGACCGTGGAAAATTGATAAGAAAAATGTGTTGTTATGAGATTCATTGTGATGGAATTTGACCTTATCTATGTTTGTTTAAATTCTAGCCTCAGATATCCTTTGTTCTCTGCAAATTATATTTTTTAATTGTGTGATGAAAATTTCACACTTCCTTTTTACAAGGAAATATTAGGCCCAGTTTTTGCCCAGCATCAGGCCAGAATGTGGTTTAATCTGGCCCTGCACTTGTGCACCAAGTGTAGCCCTGGAATGGTAGCAAAATTTCATTCACAGGTGCATGCCTGTACCCCCAGAATAGCCCATGTGCACTGGATATGACCCTGTGGTGTGCACCAGTTTCGGGGTCACACCAAAACTAGCTCCCCACTTGGTGGCTTCACTCAGACCTTGTTTACCCACAGTAAATCAGCATGCAGTAGATGGTCATTTTATAATAGAAAAATATGGTCCATTTAATAGTTTTAAAACTTTCAATACAGGCTATTGTGGAAACAGTGAGTATAATATAGCCTGCGGGAGTGGGGCAAAATGTGTGCCTTGCAAATGCATGGGAGTGGTGTGTGTCACTCTTATGCCCAGGAGACCAGGGCAAATTGCTGGTAATGCAAACCCCCTCCTCTCCCAGTCTTGCAAGCCAACTCTAATACAGTCAACCCCCGTTAGACTGCCCCCCGATAAACTGCCACCCTCGGTTGCCGCCAAAATTTCATCCCTAACAAATCTGCCTAAGCTTGAAGGGATGGCAAAACCTCTTTAAACCGCCAACCGCCATCCGCCAACATTTTTTTCCTGTCAAACTGGATTGCCCTTTTGTATTTATCCCTCTATAAACCGCCAGTTTTTTTCTCCTTCCCAGACTTTCCATTCACCAATATTTCTCTCATCTCAACCATCCTTTTCTCACCTTTTCTTGATTGAAATTCCAGCATTTCCTTCCCTCCCAGCTTCCTCTTCAGTTTTGTTTGTTAATAAATTTCTGGGGTACAATTTTATTGTCAGCCTCTTGAAATTTTGTGCAACTTTTGTGGAAATATAGAGCAAACAAGTATCCCTCATGCAGAAATATCCACTCCAAGCAAAAATGTATTCTTTGTTTCTTAGGAACATATATCCCTTACTCTGTGCTTCTTGAAATAGAAAAACTACCAAGACAGGTTTCTTCTTTGTTTCCAAAATTAGGTTGTTTCCAGATAACTTGGATAAAATGAATTAGTGCATTTATTGACTGCAATTCTCAGAAAAATCGACAGAAAAAATTTCTTCAGGTTTCTTTAAAATTGAAAAATGAAGGAAAAAATATTGATGGGGAAAATAACATGAGTCCAAAACTTGCAGGCACTTTCTGTAAGAAAAACCAGATCAAGTGATATTCAAGAATAAATCACACATTGATCAAGTTGGTGAATTGTTACATTTTGAAGCATCAGAATTCAACTGTTTTTGTGGTTTACATTTTTAAATTTGATGGCTTTCCCTTAATGAATTTTGCCATTGAGATTTTAAATTGAAGCATGCTTATAAATTTAATTGGGTCACTCAATTTTGAGATGTTTGTACTAAAAAAAATTCCCAAAAATCGGAAGATGAAAAATACTTCAGCTAGGTTGAAGCAGAGGTGGCAGTGGTAGAATTTTTTTTTTTACTTTGGTTCATCCTTCCCTGGATAAACTGCCAACCCCGTTAAACCGCCAAAATTCTGCAGCACAAACGTTGGCGGTTTAATGGGGTTTGACTGTATACTACTGGCCGTATCTGAGCAATATTGTAGTTGTCCATGCAAATCTAGGATTTCCTACTAAAAATATCTTGAAAGATCATGACTATTTTTCAAAACATCCTGTACCCCTTCTTAAAGCCAGATACAATCATACTTACATAAGAATCTCTTGGAAGTGTTTTCCTTTTTTCTTCTTATTGTTCAGCAGAAAACCTTTTTCTAATGATGGAGAGAAACGTATTGCGGTGCGACATCTACTGTTCATAGCGTCTTCTACGATGCTCGACGTCCAACAGAGCTACCCGGGTGCTAATGCCAAGACGTGGCAGGAGGGGAGAGGATGTGGGGTGGCAGAAAGAGAGGACGCAAAATGGCATTCTCCATCTTACTCTGGAAGCTTCCTCACGTATCAAAACATTCCCCTAGTTGTTGTGATGTTATTGATATCTTGATGTCGGATGTTACTGACGTTGTTGAAAATAAGAAGTACATGTTTTTGGTGAAGACTCCAATACGCCAATACTTCATGATGCGGGAAATCTTGTCATGACTTTCGAACCTTCCACATCTTACATTCCTTTTTATGTTGTGACGCGATTTCATGTTGTGATTGTGTTGCTGTGTTCAAGAAGTCGTTGGTATGGTGTTAGTGAGGACCTGGTCATAGAAATCCTCTACTATATTCTGGTGTTCGAATTCCGAAGTTTTGCGAATCAAGGGCATCTGTTTTTTTTTTTTTTTTACTTAAGAAAGGGAACGGAACAATTTAGTCGCAAAGCCATTCCGGAGCAACATTTTGAAAGCTCTCATTGTCAGAACGATGTCGCGCCGTGATAGCGAAGTGTCGTGTAAAGTGTACGTTGGTAATCTGACGCGAAACGCCTCCGAATTTGAGATTGAAGAAGCGTTTGCCAAATACGGACCGTTGAAGAACGTCTGGGTGGCTCGGAATCCGCCGGGATTTGCGTTTGTGGAATTCAACGACCCGAGAGATGCCGAAGATGCATGCCGTGGATTAGACGACACGTGAGTATTTCCTCTCATGAGTGAAAGTTTTCGTCTCTTGCTTTTCATCGCAGTAAGCGTTTTTCTTTGGGTGGGCAGCAGTTTTATTGCTTGACTTTACTTCGGGTATTTCCAGCTTGTTGGATGTTGGAAACGCGTGGAACCTTGCGTCAGTTTTGGTGCTGTGTGTACGGCTGAAATTTTCGGTGCTAGTACTGAAGTTGAAAAAGCCTCATGCGCGCTTAACTTATCTGATTTGGCGAATGCAGCAGGGATGTTCTGGTAGACTAGTAATGATCGAGCCACTCCTGCGCCCATCGCATTTTATGCGCTAGTGTACTGTATTATGTAAAACTCGTAGTGAAAATATTTTCCCAGGTTTTCGTATTACTGAAGTGTTGAATACATTAAGTAGGACGACACTTGGTGGATTTTGTATTTTTCTTTTGAGGAAAGGTATAAATGTTTGAATAAGTCGCAAAGAAACCATTCAACATGAACGTAGGTATGGTTTTCTCCTCAACTCCGCATGGAAATCCAATATCTTCGGGTTGTATGTAACTACATTTTACTGAAGTATAGTACCGAACGTCCGAACTCTCAAGTCCCCTGCGAAAGTTTGTTTTGATCAATCGTTCAACGTAGTCTTGATGACGTTTTCTTGATCATTCCGAGTGCGTCGATTGCAGTACAGTGGGCCCCCGACTTACTACGGGCCCATGTTACGTCGGTTTCAAGTTACGACACTTTTTTAAATATGAAAAAACCCCCAACTTACGTCGGGGTTTCATGATACGACAGCTTCTGAGGTTTTTCAGCTCCCTCCCACCAACCATTTTTTGGCGCCATGCATGCTCTAAAGGTTTTCCTGGGAGGAAGTGAGTTTTTTTTTGTGCCCAGGTTCATTCCTAGCCAGATTAAACTGTTAATAGTGTGAGATGGTGCCATGCACAGGAAATAAATTGTCCTTAAGTTTGGAAATTGCTGTGTTTGGAGCATTTTTTAAATTTTGTGTGTGCTGTACAGTTCATTTCATTATTGCTGAATAATTGTGCTTAGGAGAGATTTTGAATTTTGTGTGTTCTGTACTGCCCTGTCTGTGCATTTAATTATAGCTGAATAATTTTGTTTAGGAGGAATTTAAGTTTAGGAGGAATTAAAAAGTTGAAATGTAGAGGTAATTTTAGTTTAATTTTTTTTTTCTGGAACAAATTAATTTTTTTATAATGTAATCTTAAGGGAAATAGGGTTTCAACTTACAACGGCCCCATGTTATGGCATCCATCCTGGAACGGATTGATGTCGTAAGATGGGGGCCCACTGTACATGGGAAAAATCAAAGGCGTAGCTTTCATTGTTATTGCTTGTCATGGGAGCGGCTGTTCGATTGAAAATTGTTTTCCAAGAAAATAAAATTGAAAGGCTTTGTCAATTACTGTACTCATGTCTGGATGGCGTTATGTTGTAGGCATCTAGCTAACTTCCCTTCTCAAGATAGTCAATGTACCATCATGTGACGCTGCTATTAACGTTAACCGTAAAGCATTCGTACAATGAACGCCTTGAGAGAATATTCAGAGTATTTTGAGGCATAAACTTACAATAGAAATTGTGTTATTTCGAACTCCGTGAGGAGCTATCGTATCATCTTGAATTTCAGCGTGCAATACTTGAAAATAATCGATAATTCGCGTGGGAGAAACCCTAGCCCAGTTAAGAGCACCCTAATCAAGTTTCCAATCGTTTCCATCCTTGGCCAACAGACACGCCTATTAAACGAACAGAACTTGTGTGTTTAGCAGCGGAGAAATATCTCACAATGAAGAGATGCAGAAAAGTTCTTCCAATATGTAATGAAATTGGTGTTGTACCGTGCACATTCATGACTTGAAATTTTTTTAGATATGAAGCGAGTTTTAAACTCAGACGGAACTCGAACGGGTATAGAATTATCGAAGAGTATTTAACAATGATGCAATGTTGAATAAAACGAATTAAAAATTGATACGCAACGAGTGGCGCCCGAGCAGATTACAATATATATTGAGCGCCATGTCCATGTTCTGGAGAATTTTAGGCATGCTCAACTGGCATCAGCTAATGGTTCCGTGTTGCAAGTCCCGTCTGTGTCAAAGAAGCTGTGTGAGTGATGATTTCTGGGTTCGTGTCCATTCAGAGAGAGGGAGAGAAAATAGACCCTGAGCCCGCGCAGCGATGGCAACCCCGCCTTTCGCGGTCTTCTCGTGCGTTCCACTCTGAAGTGCTTCCTCGAGTAAGGTTACGTGTGATCATTCTACACCCCGTTCTGTACCACTGTACACATGTATATGCTCATACTGTATGGTACAGGATTAAAAAAAAAGTTGGTTCGAAGCACGCTGGAAGGCAGGGTTGCCGACACTCCCATCCCTTATGGACAGAAACTCTTCCTTTTTATTAATGGTGACCTTGTGGTGCGTAGCGTTCATGTTGACCGCATCCAAGGTAGAACCGAGTTGAACCTGGGTAACTGGAACCGAGAGTCGAATATCTCCGTATGTTACAATTTTTCCGAGTTCCTGACCGAATTCCCGCGGGGAGGTTTTCAATACAACGCTTCTGATCGGCTTTCACTCCCTTAAACCTGTGTAGCTCGAATTTTTTTGGAGGCATTTTGGTCATCATTTTTGTAATCCATGTGAGAGATTTAAACAATGAAATGTGATTTGATGCCTTCTGTAAGGAATGGGAAGTTCAATCGGGCATATACGCCCTTGCCTCCATGTTCAGTATCCTGTCAATTTCTTTGCAAGACACATTTGCTCGATAATATGAATACAGTAATTTCAGACTCCTTTGATTTATTTTTTGTGTGACGAAAATTTTGTTTTCTTCAACTCGAATCCTCCGTGTTTCAATTTTTTTGCTGGTCCTTTGGAATTCAATTTCAAGAGGTACAGTATTTAGGATTAGGATGTGTTTATCATTGCGGTACGAGCTCGGACCTCAATGTTATGTTTGATTGACTGGAGCTTACGTTAGCACGATTTGAGGTTATTCAGCAAAGGTTTCATCGAAGTGCTGCCGGTGTGTCGGAGTCATTTCAGCTGGCACGCGTATCTTGGATAAAAATTTCCATCTTTCACCCTGATCTCGTTCAATGTTGTCTTTGTGTGATGATCATGCGACTAAATCCAAGCCAGAACCCGTCAGATCTTTGAAAAACCTGGTGGAGTGTGGCTTTTCTAGCTCGTTAATAATTGTTTGCCTAGACGCATGTGCGGAACGAGGGTACGCGTGGAGATGTCCTCCGGGAAGACACGGCGGGGCAGCGGACGCTTCGGCGGCGGTGGCCGTGGAAGGGACCGTGATCGTGACGGCGGCCGCGGTGGTGGTGGTGGCGGCGGACGCGGAAGCCCCGTGTACGGACGCTACAAACGTTCCAGGTGCGCTGTCTTGTCTTCTTTTTTTTAATCTGTCTTTCCTCTCTTTGTTTGACTCGTGCTCTTTGTTCAAGGAACTTCGCGCGCGCGTTTTTTTTTGTGGCGTTTCTTGTTTCCACCTCGAGACACGTTGTGTGTTTTGTCGAATGCGTTAGTTGGGGCCAGTTGTGAGAATTTCCTTCGAATTTTAACGTTTTGGTGTGCGAAAATTTTGAAGTGGTACTGTACCTTATTAGAATAAATTTCCCGCAATCCTTTCGAATTTTGACCCTGAATAATTTTCAATTGTCAAAGTTTAACTTCGGAACAGACTACTGTACAGTGTTGAAACGACAGGTGAACTTTATCTACAATGATCTCGTTTAAAACGATTTTTCTGAAGTTTTTGAGCGAACAGGAATCATCAAATACAGTGTCTGATCTTTTTTTTCAAAATTTTCCGTCCTGATGATGGTAAATACCGGAATGTGGAAGGCGAAGCGAAAATCCACATCGAATTAAATTCAAGTCGAAATCAAACTTTCATTCGTGACAACTATTGTTTCAGTTGCCTCACTTCGGCAGTTCGAGATTGGTTTCAATGTTGTATGGTTCATCCTTCGTGTTGAAGTGTTTCGTGTGAATGCGTAACGTCTTGTCTCTCAGAGATTTTATTTTTTTTTTTCGAGAATTCTATGTTCAGAAATTGGTTACCTTACGAAAAGGGCTGTCGAATGTTAAACTGGTGTACTCATATTACATATTCAAAATATTTTAAACCGGTGCTGAGCCAACTGAGCGCAGAGGCCAACGGAAAGCCAGGCAAATCGTGATTATCACACTAATTAATGTCAACTCAGTGAGCTCTCCGCTTGTTTGAGGAACAGTTCTTTTGAAAATTCATGTAAAAAAGTACTATACTTCCGATATTCGTACAGTATCAATTTTCTCATTTTCGTCAACGCCGACTATTGATGGATCTTTTGTATAATTCGCAAACTTTTATTGCTGGAACGTCCCATTTGGTACCAGACTGTTTTTGTTGTACGGAAACATAAATGAATTGTAAGCTAAACGATACGGAACTCGAGGGAAACGTGGTTTCCGTTGAAGAAAACTTTTCTGCGATGAATGTAGAGGAAGAGTTAGAGACTCTTGGTTTTTTTTTTGCTTTCCTTTGAGCGTTCAGATTTCAGCCAATTAAAGCAGCATTCGGATTTCCTTGAACAACGACCAACCCTTCATACAGTGCCCTCAATACGATTGTACCGTACCTGTACGTGATTCATTTCTTTCCGTTGTGTAGGTCTCGTTCGCCAAGGAGAGCCTCGAGATCAGTGTCGCGGTCGAGATCTGCTTCCCCGAGAAGGTACCGTATGTAAAAGAGCGGAATATCCGTCGCCTCCTTATGCGTTTCTTTTCTCCCTGTCGACGAATTTCCTTCACCTCTGACGTCTTCGTTGGAACAAGTAGTCTTATAATCATCTCCGAAACCGGTCCTGTATTTCAACAGACCTGGTATTCGGACTCGACGTAATTGAGGAAGTCAAATTTGCTGGACGGCACGGTAACATGTTTATTGGGTTCCCAACGGACTTGCCTTCGGGTGTCGTTGCGTTCGAATAATTCCGGGCGTGTCGGCAGTTGATGAGTTATTCAGTTGGAACGTTTATACAGTTCAAGGTCGCCTTTGAATTCAATTGGACAATATTGGTCAAAGCTGTTTATGTCCCTAAAACATCCCCCAACACAATAGCAGACAATTTTTGAGCTTTATGTTCGTACTCTAATAGTCTAATGTACGAATACAATATTAAGAGCAAGGGACAAATTATTCTCGTCTCGTCATTCCATGAAGTTGGAATTGGATAGGTTTGATGCATGCGTAATTGAGATGAAATCGGAGTCAGATATTTTACCGTATTTCTAGTGAAGAGGATTTGTTTCAGGTAAGAAATCCTGTAGTACAGTGTATTACGAACTTTCCTTCAGAACCCGTATCATCTTGTTGTAATACGTTAAGTTACTTGACCAAGTTATTTTGCTCCGGTGAAAACACATGGACGAAGGACGGGACGTGGAAGTTAATTTTTTAGTATTGTACTGTACATATATTTCGTGTACTAAAAATTGATATTTAGCATCCGAGAACAAATGAGCTGTCGCACCTGATTCGAAATTGACATTCGCTTAGAACCCATTTAACCATTATGAGAACGAACTCTGTCTCCAATTGAGTTTCGGCCCTGCAAAATTAATGTGTTCGAACTGTTCATCATTCAATTGGGGAAGTCCTTTTTATTCTACCCGATTGGCTTTTGTAGATCGTAGCTTTCTTCAACATACGGAAGCAAATTTGATGTACAACCCGGCGATTTCTGATCCAGCTCATCCCTGCTCTGCTCTACACTCCGTCAAAATCTCCGTGATCTTTGACGCTTATCGTGACGTGTCACTTGGCAAAGAATCGGTTCTGTACGAAGATGTTTTTTTTTTTTACGTCTGTTGACATCAGGTATGACTCGAGACGATCTCGTTCGCCGGATGAAAGGCGCTGAGCTGATGATCGATGCAACAAAAGAAGAGTCGAGGATGCGGATGCAAGAAGACCTGATTGATTTTTTTGCCTGAACATTTTGTACGCCTGAGTGGACTTGATCTTTTCTGCTTCTTTTGAAGTTTGGTGTCCAGTTTTTGTTTTTTCCTTTGGAAAAGAAGCCTTGCTGAGCGAATTTTGTGGGGGAATCCTGTCTACCGTAGCTTACTCATTAGGGTTAGAGCGGGGGTCAGTTTTTCTGTTTTTTCGTTTGGTTTCCCGTCTTCGAGGGTTCGTCAGCCTGGCTTCAAAATCGCCCTTCCTTCCTGACATCAAAACTGCGTCTTTGTCGACTGCCGGGTGCCTCATCAGCTTCAACCAGCCGTGTTTCATCAGAGTTCATCTTATGGACAACCATCGTCTGTGTACCGTTCATTCTTCCTCCTGGATCGATGCTTCTCGATTCGAGGAGTCCATCTGCATCACTGTGGTTCGCTGACTCATCGTCTACTGCATTTACTAGGATAATTCACTGCAGTTGTCCTCCCCTGACCAGACTTCAGTTCAGTTCACGAATGATCAAGATATAGTTGAGCGTCTTCCTTTGATAAATTTTATTTTGACGTTCAATCGCCGAAACCGATGCGTCGAAGATATAGTGGACCAGAAGGAAGTCTTCGAATCGTTAGCCGTAGTAGTAACTCAGATTTTAAAGCTTATCGAAAAAAGCTTTTGAATTGTATCTCGTTCACTTTTTCACAATTTATTTTTGATTGGCACGAGTCCTTCTGGTCTCAATCCAATTTGTTCTTGTGCTGTTAGTATACAAATAATTGTTTGTTTCGAAGGTACATCTAAGCATAAAAAAAAGTGGCATTCTAACGTTACTAATTGCATCCATGGTAGGTTTTTTAATCGTTTCATGAATGCCAGATTCGGGAGACGCGAAGTCGGAACGTAAATACTGTATATCCAAGGAGGTCCAGTATTTTCAAGATACATTTTCGAATATCCTAGAGATTTTACTTTTTAAATTAGGTTCCTCTTGGTTCGGTTCAATCGGTAGAATTGAACAAAGCGGAGCACATCCAATTGCAATTATGCCTGTCCGTGGAGTCTTCCTAAGTGAAAATTGACTTATTTTCGCATTTGGATCCGCTTTGAAGTCACAGCTGAACTTGCGAGACGCCCATGACATGGGAAAGAAGCTTCTGCCCCAAACCTAACCTACTTGACATGGAATTAGCCCACGATTTTCAGTGCAAGAATGCGGTAGATAATGAGCCTACCGTAACAGTGAAGTGATGCTATTCTATCTGCGCGCGTGGATCATCTCATGAATTGACCTGTGAGTGCCTCTTCTTTCGGATCATACAGGTGACAAATGAGAAGTGTTCTGCTGTGAATGATATCGAATCGCGATGTGATCGCACGGTTGCCGCGAAATCTGATCAATTCCTCGGATAGCTTTTGCGGGAGTGAAGCTAAGCTCGTAAACGTGGCGACGACTCAAGTGGTTCGTGTTACAAATGCAGCAGAAACTTCGGTGAGTTTATATACGTGCATAACTTCTGGATATTGTGAGAGTCGAACCAGTTGGTTCTGATTCATGTGATAATACTGTATTGACGACTTCTCTGACGGGAAGCACAGAATTGCACCGAGTCCCGAAGCAAAAGCCGCGGGACGAGGCTTTCCCGTCGCGTTATCTTCGCGGAAACGAAATGCATACACGTACTGGAATTCTATCTTCATGTTGAACGTGTTCCACAGAATGCGTTTTATTGTGGATTTAACCTGTTGATAGTTCTGTCTTCATTATTCTGATGGTTGGTTCAAAAGTTCTATCTTCACTCGTGATTACCGTTGGATTTCTCTCGTTCAACTTGAATCTCAGTTATTCGATTTTTTTCTTGAACTGCATCAAGCATTATCAGCCTTATTTTCTCCAACTAGAAGCCTCTCGAAGTCGATTTTCTGTCGTTGGTTCCTTCAAAATCGACTTGGTGAGATATGAATATATTTCAACGGGTCTTTTATATTTTGAGAATACCGCAGATTTTTACCTCGTTTTGCAACAAATTTTACTTCTGTTGTGTTAAGTTGACGAATTGTACGTTTGTGTAACGCGTTCGTTGTTTAGACCGCTTGTTTTTTGAAACTTGGTGGAAGAATTCTAGGAAATTGTAATTATGTGATATCCTAGGCGTGGAATTATTTTCTATTGTATTTTGCAGGATGCTGAACTTGAAAGCGAGGGTTAATTTAACGAATTAATTTTTAATTTCCTTTCAAAACACACCACGTTACCTTTTTATCGCGTTTCTCTCTCCTGTGTCTTGAAAATTATAGCCGAAAGACCTCCGAGAAATTCGAGTTATGGAGGCTCGAGGGGAAAGCCTCGAGTAAGACGTTTTTGAATGCATGGGTTCTGGGAAAATTGGGACAGGAACCGAAAAAAAAATCCGACATACGGTGTATTTGACTTGAGACCTTTAGAGTAGTTCAGGTTCAACTGTACTGGATTTCAATCTTCGAGAGCTCCGCTTATTTTTCGTTTCGTAATGTCTCATCGTTTCTACAGAAAATGTATTTCTTGGTTAAGTGGAAGTACCGAATGACTTCTATTCTCGAGAACAGTATAATAATAAGTCTCAAATTAAGAGGAGAATATCGTAGACAGTGCATTTCGGAACTTTTCTGTGGGTAGAAGACGTGTCCTCAGCACAGACAGGAGCAGCTTATTTTCTAGGGAATTCCGAAAAAGAGATCTGATAAATCTCCAGAGTATGTCACTTGAATATTTTGTTTACGAATCGTCTGCGTTTTTGATGCTCATTTTTCTGGAATTAAGTTTGCTTATACGCGTGAAAGATAAGAGCTTCTCATGACGTCAAGGTCGGTTAAACTTCTTGAATAACCACTGCATGCTTAGTACAGTACTTTGTGAAAGCTCTCTGTTGTTCCCTGCGATGTAATTAAGAAAGGGGGTCGATAAATTTGGTAGCGGCAACTTCGATCGCCCCATCGCTCCGGTTAGGCTATATTTATCTTAGGTCGGTTGCCCTGGTTTTTTTTTCTTTCTTCGTCCTGCCAGGAAACTTGTTATCAACGTGTGGATAGAAAGGCTGGCAAACAGGTGGAGTTGGATTCCGAGCGGAGTATTCGGTTCCACGCATGTTGATCTCACGAACGAACGCGGCAGTCTTGGATAATATTGTTGTTGCCAGGGTGAAAACTTGTTTCCCCCTCACCTTAGCTCCTTGTGACGTGTACAGTATAATAACGGTTGCTGATACTGTACGTCGTTTTTGTTTCGAATCTTCTTTTGCGAGCTTCTGTGTCAAGGTTTGCGGGCTTTTGTGAGGGAATTTCCCAATCATTCCATCGATGATTCAATGGTACTTGCTCGAGGGTCAACTGGTTAGTTTCTTTTTTCTCCTCACGCCGTACGGACGACGAGATGTTTCCAGAAGTATCGATGCGTAGATGCATCTTTATTTACCTTGGTCTAAATCTGGAGCGAGAAGTTCGAAATGTGGTTCCGCATCACATTTTCAGTTTTAGCTCATTCATTCTGCGTTTTCCGATTTTGAGGAAATAGGTTATGATGGTGATTCGCTGGAAGATTTTTTGAGATGATGGCGTAGTACGCGTCTACCTTGATCTTCGAAACTTTGTAACCTAATTCTCCGCATTGAGGTCACTTTTATTCATCAATAGAGTAATGCACCGCACGTTCAATGTTTGTTCTAATGCTAACAAGGTTTATTTTTGAAGAAAAGTTGAGGCCCTTTCAATTTTCCATTGCGTTGAGAACTTTTTTTTTTAAATGGTCGAATTACGAACGCCAGTTTTTTTTTTTCTTTCCGAAATTCCTTCAGAGTGTAGACTGACTAGCATGCTTACCTTTTTGCCATTTTTAGTGCAGACTGAGTTTCTTTACGACGAAATTGTTTTTCTATTTTGAATTTCGTTGTAGAGAGATTCCGTCTTCATTAGAGATGGCTAAATGGTAAAAGCGTACTTTTCTGTCTACAATCCCAAGGAATTTTCGGAATTCTCTCTACGAAGAAATTTTTCTGGTCCCTTGAATTTCGTTGTAGACAACCTCATGGAGCCAAACATTAAAAAATTCATTGTGCGGAAATAGTCTACCTGTAATTGCGGTAAAATGAGTCTAACCTTAGGTAGACAAGAAATCGGAAGTTCTATTCAATCTAAGTAGAATGCACTACTACTAGTTAGATGGACGGCGTGTATGCGTAATCCAAGCAAGATTTTGTGAATAATGGAAGATATTGCTGAATTCTCTTTTTCTTCTGATCCTCCTTCCACAACTTCGACGCAAACCGCTTGGCGATGGTGTGACGTACACTTCATTTTTTTAAATCATGAATTCCAATACCGTACCGGTATTCATCCAAAATTGAGATTGAATTGATGGGAAGGTGCGAGTTACGGATGAACCGTTTTTACCGGAACAGAATAATCCGTGTGTGATCAGCACGACAGTGGTTTCCACAGTAAACGTCTGTAACTTCGTTGACAATTTTTTGTGTCAAAGCGCGTAAAATAATTTCATCAAACCTTAATATTTCGACATTTGCTTTCTTTCTCTCATTAGAAAAACATAATATGGAAGGTTGGGTCATCGAAACACCCAACGACGGAATAATCTTCTCGGAAAACGAGAATCCTCGCCAGGAAGTTCGTGCGGAGGATATGAACAGCGACGATGAGAAAAATATTTCGGAATCTCTCCGAATTTGTGAGTCGGGAAACGCAGCTTTGGATGTCGATGTCGACGATGTCTCAACAGTCCCATTGGATGACTGCATCGACGGTGTCGCTGCTGTCGGTTCTTCGACTGCTAACGAAAACGCTTTTGTTCAGGACACTGAGTGTGATCTGAATATTCCAGAGCCTTTCGAGGACCAACCTGTGTACGCTTCAAAAGAAATCGACGACGCTTCTTCTTTTAATTTAAAGAATGAATTACCCGAGAAACCTGCAAAGATTACGCTTGATCCCGTCAATGGAAAATCCCGCAATGCCTCCAGTGTTCAAGACGGACCTAGTGTGCAAATCGACGTGAATGGCGACGACGGAACGACTACTACTGCAAAAGGAAAAGTTCTTGCCAAAAAGCGCAGGAACCCGAGAGCTGCTCCGTCACGGAAACCAGCTGAGAAGAAACAAAAACCTCCCACTGGGCGTCGTGTTCGGGTATCGAAGAAAACTCCTGCGAATCCTAACGAGTCCCAAGGACAACTTCCCTCTACGACGAAAACTCAAACAAGACCGAAAAAAACCGGTAAAGCGGCTGGTCCCGCTGTGAAATCGAAGAAAGCCTCGGCGAAAGACAAAACCGCAGTTCAAGGAACTAAGAAACCGTACTTTCGCAAAAAACCGCCTGCGGACAAGAAAAATGGAAAGAAAGACAAGAAGCTGAGCAAAGACGCTTTCGACCTGTTCGCGTTATTTGACTCGTACGATTCGAAGGTAGATGGAAGTTCAGACATTCCTCCAGCTATGTCTTCTGGTCTTTCGTTCGCAACCCCTGCGAAACCTGGGTCAAACTTGAAAAGTCCATACAAAAACGTGAAAGCTTCGAAAGGAGGCGATGGAAAAGGCTCGATTCCTGGTGAATTGTCGGAAGATTTGTCTATCGACGCTGATGGTAAACCACGGATGGGGAAGACGGTTGTCGATTCGTCTGGGAATCCCCGGAGGAGAAATGCTGGTGAAAGAAAGAAAATTTCAAAGCTGGCTCCCTCAGAAAATGGGCAGGAAATTTCGAGGCGTTCCTTTGATGACCCTGGGCCGAGTTCGGTGAGATATGCGAAGGAAATTGCGAGGCATGCTGTGTCCCCTGGTCGTGGCAGAAATTCCCACAATTCTCCTTCTCACGAGGTGTGTGTGTGTGTGTTTTACTTTCTTATTTCGAGAAAAAAATGACTGGAGAGGAAAATTGTACCGAGTTCGAATGTAATCATTCGAGCGTAAGATTCATAGAAAATCTTTTAACATTATTGCTCCTGCTTTGTACCATCGAGTATTGTTGAAAAATTGGCCGATAAGTAATTTTTATTGGTTTCTTATTTTACGGAAGCTGCATTCCAGGATCTTGCCTGATCTAATGCCACGTGTAAGTCATCAATCGAGTTTGCTATCTTTCAACCTAATTTGAGAGTGTTCCTCTTTCAAATTTGGTAGAAAGAATAATTTTGTGCAAGGATCTAGTGGATGGGCAGTGCGTTGGTTGAAGCAAGCTTGAGAAAATTCTTTGTAACTTGAGTTCGAGTGTAATCGAAACATCTTTGCCGAAGTCGTATTTTGTGCTCGAGTGGAATTACAGTACTGTACTATGATTTTGGTGCAACTGAATGATTTAATGTGAGATTGTTAGTGACATGAACTGTCGACATCATCCCAGTTGCTGTCTTCATTTCATTCTTCAGTGTCAGGATGAATGTGACGTGGTCAACTTCCGTGAGTGCGTTCAGATCAAAACAAAACTTGCGCCGAGTCGGTTGAGATTTGGGTAGTTTTAAAAATACACGACCAAATCTGGTTTTATCGTCGAGCGTCGCTCCGGCTTCTGTTGAAATTATCCTCATCTCTTGCCTCAGCATACATAATTTCTTGTTTCTTAGCATTTTATTCGTAATACATTTTCCGCCGTTGTTCGTAGAAAGCGGAAGAGTTGCATAGTTCCATTTCAAACACTGTTGAAGCAAATACTGACGAAGAGACATCAAGAGAACCGGATTCGCGGCGACGATTTCAAGATGGAAATAAACACTCCACTCAGCGTCATGGAGATGAAAAATATCAGGTATGTCCTCTCTCGTTCAAGGCCAGGGTTGTTAATCACAACTTGCAAAATTTTTACACCATCACTACATTCACTACCGGTACTTACAATTTGTTTCACTACCACTATACCCTACTAAAAATAAAATTTTTGCACTACCACTACTGCTACAGCAAAATAAATGTTTTCACTACCCCTACCTGTTGAAAAAAAGATGTCCACTACCACCACCGCTATATAGAAAAAAATTTAACACTACCATTACTGCTATACTATGGTTCTTTAACAAATATTTTCAGCTATAATTCCATCAACAATTTTTGGTAAATTTTTACAAACCACAGTTTCAGCTGTAATGGCCTGTAAATGTCCAGTTCAAAAAATTGAAATTCCAATGTTTTTCACATTTCAATTTGATTTTCAATGCAAAAGCAATGCCAAGACAAATGTCCTACAGATTCAATTCATTTTCATTTAAGATTGTGACAGCTGAGCTTGAACTATTTTGTTACAAATTACAATACCTTCATATATGAAAAATTCATTGGGATTTGGGGATGACATGTTTCACTGTACATGTATATGTTTTCAGGAATGAGGAATAATGCTGTAAGAGACACATAAATATAAACAGATTTCATATGTTCCAGAATGTGATGGTTGCAAGACTATAGTTTAGTGATTGCCATTATTGATTTCTTGAACATTCAAATTTGAATGTTCCGAGCAAGTTTAGGCCCAGACTAAACTCTTAATGTGAACACAGTCCAGCTTTGTCAGACCTCTTGGTTGCCACCTAGGTCAGATTTTAGTTAACAAGAACAGATTGTGAAAGCTTTCTCAAAAGCATTTGTTGATGGGTGGCTAGAGGGAAGGGACCATGTAAGGAGAATCAACTTCACTAACACTGACAGGTCCCAGTCTGATGTTTCAAGTAACGTAATTGAATAAGTATTGTAATAAGTAATAAAGAAACCTCTTGTTGAGGGATAAGAGTAGCTCCTAATTTCCACATTTCATCAACCCTTAGCCCAGAAGACAAAGCCAAGACTGTGATAGTTTCTTGAGCAAGTAAAGCAATAGAAACAGGGAATGGTTGGGAAGCAAAGAAATCAATAAAGAAATTGTGCATCCCAGATAACAGAACTTTGGGTGAAAATATGGCGGGAATTTTTAGAACATGCCATGAAATGTTCAATGAGAGTATGATCCATGACAAGATCAGGTCTCCAAAGTTTAATACCTGTAGCTCTTGTGATTGCGGATAAAAGAGAACAAACATAAGAAAAAGAAAAAAGCCTGGTGGCCATAGGATCTAAGAACTCAAGAATAATGATAGTGTGAATATCTTGAATTTGGATATTGCATTGAAGGATAAATTTTGCAAAATGTGAGACATAGGAATCATATAGTGAAACTGTAGAAGGTGACAAAGAACCTTAATTGTCTCAACAATTTGTTGAAAATTTGTCATAGCCTGAAGAAGCCCAAGCATTGGAGGGGTAGCTTGAGAATCCAATGGACATGATGAAGAAATTCTGGTAGTTTCAGACTTTCTCCTGCTGGTGGAAGGTTTAGGAAATAAGTTTGATGATGTACAAGAAGAGGCCACCACATGGGTTGGTTGAGAAGAACCTGAGTTTTATTCTTTGATCTTTGCCAGGACTCAGTGCAAGATACAAAAAAGGAGGAAATAAATATCCCGTATAATCGTTCCAAAGTGAATCAAAATCATCAATAAAGGTTGCTTTTGGTTCATGAAATCATGAAGCAAAAATAGGAAGTTGAGAATTGACACTGGTTGTAAGCCAGTCAACCTCTAGCGTGAAATTAAAAAATTTGCCGATATGTTGGAAATTGAGGTTTTAGTTTCCATTTGGAATCAAGATTCTTTGCCTGCTTTGGGGATAAAACCCTAGTAAGTGCATTGGCAGGGTTATCTTTTGAAGGAACGTAAGTAGAAATAGCAGTAGTATTGGAGCATTCTAAAATCTTCCACATGAGGTGTGTTTCTGTGTTGAAAGATTTGACTCTTCTGCCAAAATTATTAAAGTAACAGACTGCAGTAGTATTGTCAACAGGTAAACAAATATTGGCATTATGCCAGTCTATTGGAAGAGTTTGAAGAGCCAATCTGATTGCTCTGAGTTCCAAAAGATCAACACAACCTTGTTCGAAAGTGCACCATGCACCAGCAACCTTGAGATGTTTACAAGTTGCTGCCCACCCTCCTGAAGTTGCTGCATCAGTAGAGATTAAATGGTAAATGGGGCATGGTGCAAAATATTTTCTCAGTGGTGGTGACAAGGACAACCACCATTGAAGGTCCTCTGAAATGAAAGATGGGCGAAGGAAAAAATTGTCCCAATCTAAGCCTGATTTCAAGACCTTTTGTCTAGCTGCTTGAAGAAGACAAAAATGGCTAAAAGCTACGGAATGGCTGGGGCACAGCTCAAAAGAAAACCAATAATTTGGAAACTTCAAGAAAACCAAGAATTGCGGGGCATTGTATCTGGTAGAAATTTTAGGCCTTAAATGGCTCCTCATATGAGTTCTACATAACGCTGAACTTGAGGCAAGAGTTTGCTTGCGTGATTAGTCTTACACTTCCGTGCAAGGCACACCAAAGTTTATTTGGATATCTTTTCTATATCGATAAAATAATACCCGGAATACGAGTTATGGAGTTACCAGGAGGAAAGTTTTTGAGTTGGGGACGTTTTTAATGCATTGTTTATAGTGGAATTAAGACAGGGACTTGCAAAAATGTGACATTGTATAGTGTCGTGAACAGAGACGGTACCTGTCTTGCCGAACCCCAGCGGAGAATTGAACCTCGGTTTTCTCAAATAACGAATACATATCTGGATTCACATGTCAACGTTCGACCCGTGAATGACGAGTTTCATCCCATATGGTCTTGATTTCGTTTCTGTAGCGAACCAATTCAGAAATGGACGATTCACCGGAACTGCGGCGAAGGAAAGAAAGGCGACGCGACGGCGATGGAGGTTCTCGGCGTCGTCACCGGGACTCTGACGTGTCGGATGCGTCAAATAACTCTGAAGAAGAGCGGAGACGAATGCGCAAATCCCACAAGCGGCGCTACTACGAGCGGCGTAACAATGATCCGCGTTCTTCCCGAGGGTCATTTTCTTCTCGCAGTCGCAGTCCGAAGCGTTCTCGGCGTCATGCAGAGGACGAGCATTCGGACGACTGCGATTATCGGGACATCGCGACTTCGTCCAAGGTTAGCTCGAAATATTGTACATTCTAACTCTTGTACATTAGTTTCGTCGATGTTCAAATTTTCGTGAAGAATCAAGCGCGGGAAACGTGCATTTTAAATTCAGCGAGGAATTTGACATTCCTTCGAAGTAACCACCGAATTACGGCATTGCCGATTGAAACGTTCACCAATTCCAAGATGCACCTTATTTTTTAATCGCTATAATACGAAGGATGAGCTTAACGGGGAAATCAGAGTCCCACCGTCTCTCACTTTAAATACATAAGCTCCTAAAATAATGTGCGGAATAGATCGTACAAAATGGATTTTCAAATGCCAAGGTTCAGTAAAAAATGCACATTACATTCATGATGGAAAGGCACAGAGTCCCCTCGTTAATTTATTCGTTCCATCGATAGGATTGAGTTATTTCAAAGGGAAAGAATGTACTTCGCAAAAAAGTCGCATGTGATGATTTCCATTGTTTCAAGTAAGTTCATGCGAGTCTTTTCCTACTTGTCCTGAAAACGAATAAAGCAGGGATTGTTCTCAAAGGAAGGAGTCGGCGAGATTAATTTTTTTTTATAAGCGTCATTTTCGATGTAAATTTTTTGCTTGATTCTTGTCAGATGTTGCTCCTGCAGAATTTATGCCTGTATTTTGATTGGAGCAGTAAGATTTGACCGTTCAGTAATAATTATCTTTCGACGTACCACATAGATGCGATACTTTCCCGCGTTGACTCGCGAAAACATTGAGAATGCGTCTGATAACGATGGTATCTTTGATCGCATAATAAATTCTAGTTGATAATGTGCATGCCTTGGATGTCTCCTCGACTTGAAAATAATTCGCTGTGTCTTTGTTTCTTGGATTTACCAACGAACTTTCCTTATTCTCGAAGTGTAAAAACGAAATGTATCATTGAAAGAATAAGGGTTTATATTTTTGCGAATAAGAGGTAAAGTACAATCTAACTGCAATTCTTCATTGCTGTAGTTCGTCATTAGGTCATTACCAACAACAATACACGTATTCTGAACGCAGCTCGTTTACTTCTCCCTGTATGCGAACCAGTAAATACAATTTTGTTCCAGTTCAAGAATCAACTTTCGAGGTTGCGCGAACGCTTGTCCTTCGGGCGATGTTCGGGAGTGAATCGAAATTTCCGTTGACGTTCCTGCCTTTTGCGTGACGTAAGTTTTCAGTTTGATGATTTGAAGGGAGGTCAACCGTTGTCGGAAGCAGCTCGTGAACTGTTGAAGGAGCTATTCTTGAGGAAAATCCGGAGAAAGCATCGTTGTTCGAAGTACTGCGAAATGCATTACGAAGTACCCGATGGCGATTTTGCTTACGAGCAGCAGCAGCGTAAATTTGGTTCCCGCGTGAACCAGGTTTTTTACGAGTCGAGACACGAGTACGACGACGGCTACTTCCGGAGTACTAGACCGTACTACGCTCCCGCGGGATTTTACCAAGGCTCGGATCGTCGGTTCTTGGAAATGCCGACGGAAATGTCAGACCCTCCGGCTGTTTATTACCCCAACGTGCAGAGATACCTCATGGAAAATGACTTGTCAGGGCTGACGTCCGACGGCAGGCATTACTTGCCTGACAACGCGCTGGTGAGTTTTCGACTATTATTCTTGTGAATAACAGAGTTCTCGCTTAGAAAAACGGGGTGAACTTGCAAGAGTAGATTTTTGAAACTGACTTCTCAGGAATTTTTCTTTTTTGGGGGCGGGGGGGGGCTTTGATTAAAAGGAAGTGTCGAATCTATTTTAATCATTTTGTTGTTGTTGCCCAATGTTTCGGATTTACAGTATTTACGCGCAATAGCTAGGGGGTGCTTGTATTCTTATACTGTACCGTATTTGCAAATTTATCTAATTCGCGTGAATATGCTTCTATGTCTGGAAATCTTATGCTTTGCGACGTGCAAAACTATCTAGCAATTTTTTTCTTCAGTTCTTTTGGATTAGAAATTGAAATTAATCACGATATGCTCTGCTTTTAGCTTTCTTCCATGCCCAGCTTTGAGTTGTTTAGTCAATGACTGAAGGAAGGTATGTGTGACTGACTATATTTTCCTTTTCTGGTGGAAACCTAAATCGTCGTACATTGTAGGTTCTTCGAAAGTCAGTACACCAGGAAAAGAAGCGGGCGCTTATATTCTCCTTCGTATTTTTTTGCGTGAAAAATATAAGGGAATACGGTATACAGCGAATATACTTCGCGTAAAGACGATAGTTGCATCGGCATGTATTCTGCAGAAATGCAGATACTGTATTGATAAAAATCATCCCGAGAAAAAGTTTCGTGGCTAATACGCAAGTTGATCAAATCACTTCCTACTAGCTATGTTCGAGTTCTACGTGCCTTCGAATGATTCGAATGCTGCCAGCCGAAAAACACTTCAACTAACGTACTGCGAATATTTCAAGGTTGACTTATATTGTTGTGCACGTTTCATTTTATTTCCACAACAATATTGATGTGGATGAGGTAGGGGTGAAGTTTGGTGGTGAATGGCTTACTGGATTTTCCTTCCAACTTCTGCTGCATCCTCGATGATTATATACTCATTTAATATTTTTCAAGTATTTTCAATGTACAATCCCCATATAGTAAACCTTCATTCCTCAGGAAAAAGCCCAAATTCCCTGTGCGGACTATGAAAAACTGCTTAAACCCTGAAGTTTTAGAAAGAAAATATGTGTCTCGTTCATATTCCACGTATTTTGAGTCAGGCTGGTCTGTGGAAGACTGTTCCAGAAATTGTTAACTGGTGCAGTTGAAAAGATAATTGTTCGCGGGTTAAAATCCTATCTTACCATAATTGCCCTTTCTTTCCGTTTCGCTGCAGTTGCAAGGAATGGCACCTTCGTCCTACGATCCCCGGTATCAACTGGCTGTGCAAGATCCTTTCCCTCCGCGATATTCGGAGTGTGTCTACGAACCCATTTCGCGGGTTCACAAAGATGTGATAAATTCCGCGTTTGTTGGTGACACGGTCGCTGTTGCCCGGCTGCCAGTACCAACAGCTGCAGTACCATTAACGCCTTCATCTTCACCACCTCCACCACCTCCACCACTTCGTCATTCCATGTCGGTCAGTTCCAAAGCACGTGATGAATACGTTGTCAATGAAGAGCGTGAAATGTCGTATGTTCGTGTGAGTGGCGAAAGACGTGATGCGAATGCCGCAGTTCCGCTGCAGAATGCGGCGAGTGATAGTGCGAATCGTGAGAGGTTGTTGGAGAAGGCGATGCGGAATATCAAACGGGATTTCAGGAGTCCACCTTCTCCGGGGGCCTCGGAATACGGCGGCGGGTTTCCGGAATCTGAATACCGTGCGAATCCCATATACCCGAGTGACGATTACAGCGTGAATTTTCGGTCCAGCAACATTTCTGACGGCGTGGTGTCGCTGGGCAGACGGATGCGACGAGACGAGTGCGATGTCGAGTGTGTGGAAATTCTTCCGGGGCGTGGTGTCCAGCAACATGTGCCGACGGGTTTGCATGGACTGCCGACGAGACACGTGAATGAAGATAAATCGAGGAAAATGGAGGAATCTTATCTGCCGCGTCATTCAATGGCCGAGATTCACGGGTGAGAAATCATCATTTTATTCTGTAGGATTGAACAATTCTCGACTCTCCCGTGTGATGGAAATATTGGGACTGTCTTTGTTATTTTTAGTGATTGATGCATTGCCGTCGTTCGCTGGAGTACCGCGCGCAAATTTTGTCCTAAAAGTTGCGAGGGAAAATAGTGGTAAGCGTCATAAGCGGGTATGAATTTTCATGAAAGTTTTCCAAGTTGAGGTGTGCATTATATTTGATTCTAATGGAAAATTTTGGACGAATCCCGAAAGGAAAGGTTACTGTAATAGATATGACTGAAAATCAATTGAATTCAGGATCAAAACATGTCTAAATTCAAATTTGGGTGTTCTTAATTGTGAAAATTTCCTGTTTTTCACTAAAAATGGGGAGCGAATCCTACTCGGGGTTACTATTTCATACATATTTATGGACTGAAAACCCCTTGTGCGCGTCCTACTCGAGGTCGTGTGTTACTCGAGTGAATACGGTATTTATTTAATCGCTGAATAAATTTCGGCGCCGTAGCACCAGTGTAATTTCAGATTAGAAAGGATTAAATTGAACGAGGAATAAATTTTCACGATCGCTGTCAGTCCTAAAATTTCGGTCCACCCAATGTTGTGAACACGGACAAATGAGTAGGAATACGTATTGCCATTACCTCGAGTCATCTATGTCTGATATCGGATTTGATCTTACTGTACTTCAAAATTTTTTTGTGTGGTCCCTTTGCGATCCATGATCTGCAAAATAAACTCGAACCTTCCGAGTTGGTGATACTCATTAGATATGCTGTGTAAAATGTGAGGGAGGTTCACGGGAATCCGATAGGAGTTCAAAAAATTAGCGCTAGTGAACTGCATCAATTAAAGTTCACTATTGTCGTGGAATGTGTTGAAATGGAACGCGTTTATCAAGATGAAACATGCATACCTATTCAGAATTATTTTACGAGATCGTGATTCATCTTCACGCGAAGCGGGTAATGAAATACATCGCTTGTTTTGAGGAGTGAATGTGCCTAAGCTGATGCAGTCGCTCTTGCGCAGTGTATCGAAATATTTTGAGTTTTCTTGTTTCCCGAAATTTAAAGGATTGATGTGCTGTACTACTCCATTCGAAATTTTAAGATGGAAGCTCTTGAATTCCCGAATTTTAGCGAATATCATTACCGTACCTCCTTTTATCAACATTAGCGACCAATTCACTAGTGAATTATCGTTGAAGAGTCACTTGCTTTTGAAGATACTCATTCTTGCTCGGAGGACAAGTGCAGTAATCAAATTAATCTTTGACGCTGTCTTCAACTGTTTTTTATTTCTTGGTTCCTTCGATCAGCAGTGGCATCTCAAGGAGTGGCCGTTATTATGATGCTTCTCATTCCAAAGAAAGGAGAGACTATTCCTTCGTTACGAGGGGTAGTCATGCGGTGGTACGGTCTGTACACGAAGCGGAAAGGAAAATACCTGTGCTGAAAGAAGTCGTTGATGTGGGGCATTCTTCGACTCAACGATGTCGCGAAACGTTTCATTGAAGTTTGTACCATTTCCTACCAATTTTTTTATCTAGTCAGATGTAACGTGCCTTCGCTATGTAAGTGACTTGGATGTTGGATCAGTAAGAATATTCTCAAATCACAGCTACTTTTTTCATGAATGCCTCGCTGGTATGAACAGCCGCGTTTCTTTTCTACATTCTTTACAGAGTATTTATCTGTTGATCGAAGTTAATTTTTATTGGATCATCGGATTTTAAACTGATGCGTTCTCGACCTGAAATAATTTGGTTATTGATTTCAGTTAAAATGTTGTTTTTAACGATGTTTTCGAATGTAGTACCGTATTAAGATTTTCTTCTCGTGTTTTGCAGGCGCAAATTGAACATGGAGTATCTTCGTTCAATGCCGGGTCCACGTCGAAGGAAAAATACGTGGTCTCTGGTTAAATTCGAAGAATTCTTCTCGCAGTGAAGAATTCTTTTTCTGTTGAGGGCCTCTGTATTTGTTTCTTGGTCTCGCTGGTTCTAAGAGAAATAAAGTTTTATACTTGGATGTTTTGCTGAAACAGGATCATGAAAACAAATTCATTTGGGTACCCAGTGTCAGATTTATGTTCGTTCACGTTGTCTGAGAAGAAACTGTACTGGCATTCATGTGAACGTATTTGGTTACGTGATATTTTCCTCCATCGCATTTGTTTGATTAAATGGAGATGATCCGTTAACGTTGTTTTTCAAAAGGAATGCAGAAAAGATAGAACACCTCCAGAAATACTTTTAATCGGAACCTTATCGTATCTTCGTGTTGGTGTTTTTACCCTCATGTATCGAGTGTCCTTTTCTCAAATGGGTCTCTGCTAAAGGCAACTACCGGCCAACAGCCGTGTATGAATTTTGTTCGTGCCAGATTCCCTCAGTTGAAATAATGCTCTGACGAATGGATATCGTTTCTTGTTCACAGAAATAATCGCCCATCTGCTGTGTCCCGAAGTGATATATTTCTTGAGTCGAAGTGTGTAAACAAGTCTCAGGCGTGTGTACCGTTGCTTGTGTTGTGGAATCCTTCACGTGCGGTGCGTTCTTCCGCAAACAAGGGGAAAAAGCAAGCCTGTTTTTTTTTTTTTTTCGTCGTGCGTGAGAATCGCCTCATGTCCCGGTTCCAGTACCCATCGGAAGAGATGGATTCGCTCCGAGAGCAAGTGATGATCAACCAATTCGTGATGGCAGCCGGTTGTGCCCGGGACCAAGCCAAACAGATCCTGCAGGCTGCTCAGTGGCAGTTTGAGGTGAGCTGATTACTGAGCCCCTTACATGCCTGGTCAATTTTTTTACGGCGTAACCTTTCGCCCTACTTTTCTGATTGATCGTGCAGAAAAATATAAATTGCAGATCGTTCATAAGCGTGCGCGTGTTTAGGAGAGGGAGAGAGAACAATTCGGGGCTTGACGTGCCAATTTTTGAAGCCTAGGTAGAGTGAATTGATCGCTCCTTTTCGTCGGGAGCTGGCTGGTTTTCCAGCCTTTTTTTTGTGGCTTCACGCGTGAACACATACAGTAATTTTCTAATCCATGTGCGAGTTTAGTACTTATTTGATTAGAAGAGTACTGCAAGTTGTGGCTGTAGTTCGGAAAATTATATGGATAATATTCTTGGAAGGAGTGAATCAAATGCTGGACAATGCGTAGTCAAGAGTTATTCTGAGTTTTTTCCCCACTGGGATAGGCGTTCAGTTGGTTGGTTAAATCTTCCGTGTAATCCACAGTTGAAAACGTTTTCATCATGGCAGTGTTTCCGTTTCGAAACGCTTTTACGTAAAATTTCGTTACAACGGATCTTATTACAGCAAGTTTTTAGTTATGAGGAATTTTTCATGTTCCGAGCAGTTCTTTCGTAGGTTCATAAGTTCTCCTTAGGCGAGCATTTCTTCATAAACTAATTTTATTCTGTATAATCTCAGTATGTCGAATTTGTGCCTTGATTATGTGTGCATGTACCGTGGACCTTTTTTAATAATCGGCGCAATATAAGGATCAAGGTTTTGTATGATTGAAAAATATTGAATACCAATGCGAATTGTTTTGAACAGAAAGTTTGGCATTGCAGGAACCATGAAGCTCTAATCAAAATGTATCTAGCTTTATTTTAAATTTTAGAAATGACTAAGTGTAGTAATTTAAAAAGTAATTTTGAAAGATCTTCCTATATGGCAGGTAGCCTACATTTTTATGAGTAAATCCTCGTCTCACACATGCATATATTTTTTGCTTCAGCTTATACGGTACTTGAGTACTTCTTTTTGGGACATTTAAGAAATAAAAGGTCTAAAATACAAGAATTTTTTGAATTTCTCGAATATCTCATAAATGTAGTTGGAAATTATGACATGTACATCTGTTGTTGAAGTGCAGTACAGTACTTCGAAGCATGGGTTACCTGTTCCATTAAAATTTCAGCCCTACATGATGAAAGAACGAAGAATCTCATCACAGTATAACGCATTTTTTCTTAAGTCCCTGGAAGTTCGTTTCAACGGAATTTTACTACGTATACTGTGTTGAGAAAGACTCGGAAATGTAGACATCGTCTAGGAAACTCACCAAATTTTCTGTCCTTCGTTGGAGAAAGTTTGTGTACCGTACGTTACGTAATAGTGTTCGTCTCTAGTGAAGAAAATCCGCAGAGTAAAAGCGTGTATTTAACTTTCGAAAGCTCATGATCATAATCCAAATTATTTTCTTGATGCATCTTTCAGACTGCGCTCAGCATATTCTTCTCCGAAGTGGCGATCCCGTGCCCCAAAAGTCAACACCCCGTGAGTACATTTTCCGACCTGTTCCTTTTCACTGTACAGTATGTACACGCACTCTTTTTCCGAGGAACCGAACGTTTGAGGCCATTATAATTTGAAAGTGAATTTTCTCGATATCCGGCTCACCCTGAGCATGTTTTGATTTGTTTGTGAATTCAAAACAAGCTTTCTTCAATCCGCTCGCGAATTGTGTGATTTCCACCCGATCGATTCCCATGTGGAATTCAGGGGAACTCCAGTGGGAATGGAAGCCGGGTGGTTGACCCAAGCTCTTCATCAAAAATTCATCGCGATTCGATTTTTTGAGCGATCATTCGGGCACCGGTAACCCACAACTGTCTTGATGGCGATCGATGAAAGAAGTTACTTCCTGTATGCCAGTTTTCATCGAACGAGTTCGAACATTTGAAATGTGGAAGCCCCCTCGCATTTTTTTGCATTATTCATGACGTTGTCCACGCTGAATTTGTTGCATAAAAATTCGAGGATTCGCTGGTACCCGAGACAAGCTATCTTTCAAATTTGCATTGGATTCCCTTCATTTCCAGTCATGACATCTCTGTTTTCTCCTGGCGCTTTTAGTCTACGGTATCAGAATACTGTATTAACCTTCACGAGCATTCAAATTGGCGGAAAGGGGAAAAATCGTGGACGCGTGCTTTGCATTTCTTCAAAAAGTTTTCAAGTTGAAATTTTGGAAAACTGCGACTATATGCCATCGTATCTATTGAAAGATTTTCTTTGGCAAGTGAACCCAGGTTCCTCAGGAAGTTGGGTTTCACTTCGAACACGCTCTTTTGTTCATTCCTACTGGATTGGGTGAAAATCGCAAATGTGATCGATTTGATTTTCGTCGCCGAAAAAATGATTTCCGCCCGTGTGCACTTGTAGTGATGAGAAGGGAATTAGTGGCACAACTTGTGAGGTAGCCCTCCGAAGTGCAGTACTGCTCTTGCATTTCCAGTGAGGCATGTTGTTGCAATTATTGATGGCAAAACTGTGCTGAAATCCTTTGAGTCATCAGCTGCCAAGAATGTTTTTGGGCGAGTGTTTCCGCGAATTGATGACACCGATGAAACTTAACGTAGCCTCGTCGTCTTCACGATCTGCTAGGCAGTAAATCAATGCTACGACACGTGGCTCGGAGTTTGTGTTTGTTGCGAAGGCGAAGGTTTCCAGCAACCCTGGGTTCTCGGTGGGTGCGGGGTTCATCTCGCGAGACACTTGCTTGTATTGGCACCGGGTTGTTGACCCGGTGTGTCCGCGTGTATGTGACCTCTTTCTAAATCCTCGTCTATCTGTTCCGTTTTCCGCTGAGAGTCCGCGTTTCTGGCCACCCATGGTTGCTCAGCGTTTTTACACATCTGCCAATTCTACCAAGATTTGTCTCCTTGGATAAAATATTCACATCTTTTCATGGTTAAAGCGTTATAAGAGTTTTTTTCTAACCTGGTGCAATTTTTGATTTAGCGAATTTCCTTCAAAATCTTGTTCGAAAAATGCCTGTACGCTGTATATTGTGCAAGGCCAGATCAAATGTGAAGCTAACGTTCATCAGCGATATTGGCTCGAAAAGAGTTTTTCGCACAACGAGCTTTCCAACATTTGGTAATTCAATAAAAATTTAATTTTTTAAATAATTTTCTTTTTTGACTATTTGAGAGTATTACAGTTTGTAATTACACCTGATTTTGACCCACTCCTAATTTTCCAATTAAGTTGAAATCCGATATGCATACTGTATTATCCTAGACGCATATCTGTGACATGGCTGCTGATCGAGTGATTCCAGATACAGAATTGATATCCAACGTTGTATAACTACGATGAAAAAATCGAGTTCTTGATTCTACAAAATTAATACTGTACAGTACTGTAATGTACACTAATTGGAAACATGGTATGTATTTTGCAATAACTACGGTGCATTTAAAATTTTAGATAAAATCGAGGAAGTTCACAAGTTTGAGAAGTAAAATCAGAAGCTCTTCAGTTTGCTCATTGTATTTCGAAGGCTCTTTTTAAAAATAAATTTTTTCGTGTGTATGCAAATTTCAACTGAACATAACAAGATATCAACCTACCTATGGCTCATTTGCTGGGTTTATTGCGCGAAGATGTTTTCAGTATCCTTGAATCGGTTATCTAATCAAGTTAAAGATAATATTGATTGAAGAAATTCTGAGCTAACATTTTTTTTATTTTCTCAAGATGTGCGCCTGCTTTTAATTTGTCTAGACAATGAAACATGATTGAGATGCTTTTAGAAAATGCTAGTTTCTCGATGGAAAATTCCTGATGGTCAGGGTTTGAAAATAAGTTGGGGAAAATGAATTGCTTTCTAAATTCGAGCCTGTTGAAGGTCCCACTAACAAATTATTTCATGCGCAACTTTCGAATGCCTTCCTTAGCACCTGAAATTAATAGATTGAATTATGGCATCAGAAGTTAAAAGGTCAGCATCGGTTAATTCAGTGTCATCATTAGACTCTGTGGGACTTGAAGACGATGGCGATGAATTTGAGGAGTTCCCAGCTGATGACTATGCGACAAAATTGTCTCGGCATGATGATGCTGGCGATGAAGAAGATGATGATGATAGTGTCAAGGAAGGTCTGGTGAAGAAGAGCATTTGGGAGGATGAATGGGATGATGAGTATGTTGGTGATGACTTTGCCATCATGCTCAAAAAGGACCAAGAGAAGAACCCGGCCCTTGCGCAGTCTCATGGGGACAAAAAGCAGAAGAAGAGTCAAGTAATGAAAATGGAACAAAAGCAACATCCCGCTACAAGTAACGAGGTCAATGAAGCTACTGGGGAAGTGGTTGATGTTGGCTTAAAGCCTCCCAGGGGTTCAAAGGAGAAATCGTCATCGAGGAAACCATCCGTGGATGAGAAGAATACAGCAGCTGTGGCCAAGTCAAAGCCATTGAGAAAACCAAGTGCCAAGAAATGAGGCAATCCTTTCACCCTCCCCCCCTTTTTTTTAAAGTGGACCCCGTCTCTCTTGATTTTATGAGCCAGCAATCCATGGGCAATCTTCCAAGTTTCACATGAGAAAAGGGGGAGATGTCATCCGTTCATGAATTCATGTCAGAGAAATCTTGGCAGATTTTATAACGTTGCTGTTTTTCTGGTGAATCTTTTGAATCAAAAGAGTAAAATTTTTTGAGACTGCGTTTTGTTGATTTTGCGGCTCACTTTATGTAATATGATCATACAATACAGTACTGCATTCAAGCATTCTTGGCAGTACTTTCTGATTTACCCACATATGATGAACACAAGTTTGATTCAGTGCAGGATTTATGGTGTTTTATAGGAAGGGGCAATAGTGAAGCATTTACTTGAGTTATGCGCAAACAGAAGCTTTACGCATATTTTACTGTACACTTGTACTTTTGTACAGTATTTGATTTGAATCCAAATCCAGTTCATTCATGGGTTTGTTGCTGGATTGGATTGGTTATATGGTAGGTGATGCTAGTAAGATGTGAATTTTGTATTCCTGTAACTTCGATATTTGTTCGTCAGTTGGGCAAGTGGTGGTTAACGATAGTGTATTACTACTGTATTGTACTTGGAAATACGGGTGGGATCTCTTCAACGATTTACTCTGCATGACTTACGGTGATCACCCAATGTTGTGAAGGGGTTCTTTGAAACCATCTGTATGGTCCCATAAAATTCATTCCTGAGGGAATCCACCTGGATCTAGTTTAGCTGGAGCTTTTCCAGGTCATGTATTTCAAACGTACGGGATTGTGTTAGTTACTACAGTACTACTTGCCAGTAAGTCTAATTTAAATTCCGGAGATTAAGTGAAATCCTTGACTTACAGTACTGTATTAGGTTATTTACATTGGTACGACTTAACGCTCTCATGTACTGTGCATCAATTTAAAAATACAGTAGAATCTCGGTATAACGAATAATCGATTACATCGGAGTCATTTTAGGTCCCTTCCCGAAAGCAGATGTTGAATGAGTTATCTTATAATGAATTTTTCGTTAAAACGAAGCTACAGTATTTAACTGGTCCCAACGGCGTCGCTGTAAAGGGATTTTACTGTACTGTAGTCTGGTTTGGTTTGATGCCGATTTTTTTCGATTATGGCCGCCATTTTTGAAACTTTGTTTTCTAAACGTTTAGAAATAGGAAATCTGAAGTATTGCACTGCATGATGAATCATTATCATCGTTGATTATTTATCAAGGAATTTCCTGGTTGTAGTTCTTCAGACATCCTGGCATCCAATGTTATTCTATTTGAGTACTTCGCTGAGACTGTCGGGGATACGAAAGGAACGATGTATTCCTAGCTTGATTGTTGACTGATGCATTCGTCTTCCATCTAGGCTAGTTGTTTCCTTCTTCAGTCTTCCCTCTTGTATCACCTTCGTAGACGTGTCCTCAAAAGAGAAGGTGCCGGAATGAGTTGTGAAACGCTGTCCGTGTCTGTCTGTCTGTCTGTCTGTCTGCCTGCCTGCCTGCCTGCCTGCCAGCGTGTGCTGTGCTGGTTTGCTTCGTGGCATCCAGCCATTGCGAGTTGGAACTGGCTGCTAGGAAAGAGGCCATGTTTTTCTACATTTCCTACGCACCAACAACACAGTTGGAGGGAAAGAGGGAACCGGAGGGAAGGACAGGGTCGCCTTCTCTGAGGGAGCGAGTTCATGGTCATGTTTGACAAGCTGACAACTGAGACTTTACTGTACTGTACTGTAAAAAAGGAGAAACTTTATTTGATCCCTGTGTGTAGCTAGCTGATAGGGTTAAAACTTGCTGTCTCCATATCTAGATACTGTACAGTATTTTTTCTGGTTATAGCTGCCTTTTACGACTCCTGTTCGAATCGAGAGACTTGATCTACTTTTTCTGTTGACATCCTTGAGTCTCTACAAACTCCGATTCTGTAGTTAATTTGTATCGGTGCTTTTTGGGGGGTTTTCATCACCTGAAGCATTCACGATGAGAAAAAAAGAATTAGTTCAGTGGTACCTCATACGGTAGTACGAACGGTCTTTACGACCAACTTTTGTGCTGCTATTTTTCACACACTTTCTACGAACGAAATTCCTGTCGCGAAGAAATCGTTAAAAATCGAAATAGTACCCGAAAATTAGTTTTTTTACAAAGTTTTTAAACAAATTTCTTAGCATACTCCCTCTTGATTAATTGGATAGTGTGAAAATTCGCTTCCAATTACTTTTTCAGCACAAACCTCATTCAACGCAATGTGTCCAATTATTGTTCATTTTTGTTTTTGTTTTTGTTTTTCAAACAGAAAGGCACTCTTGTTTGAACTGGTCGTATAAAATATAATACTGTATTGTGCAACAGAAAAATATATGAAGACGAATTCAAAAGCGATTTAATGGAGATTGAATTTGAAGTTACATTCGTCATTCTAGCCTTTTCAGTTTTTTTTTTGGTTACGAAAAATAGCTGTAGAAATATTCGACCTCCAATACAGTAACTAATCCAGCTATTGTGTGGTTAGCCCACTGCTCGCAGAGAAAGGGAACTGTGTTGAATTGTAGACTTCAACGGCGAAGAGGTATAATTGCTTATCAGATCGGAGTATTGTACTTCACTGTACATCATTCTGAAACGCAGTGCATTGCACTTATGACAATATTTTTCAGTGTCGATTGAGCGAACGAAAACAGCTCTAGATGATCTTCGTTGGCTGGTTCTCCGGAACGTTAGAAAATCATTGACGGTGTGTTGCATTCTTGTTCAACCCGTATCCCCGATCGTGACGTGTTCAAAATTAGTTCATCGGAATCCATTCATTGAATTTTGAAGTCACTCGTGGTATAGCTCTCAAGCTGAGCTTGGAACGGTGCCCATGGGAGATGGCGGGAACGGGAGACGGCTGTGTTTCAATGGATTCTGTGGGAGGGATGAGGAAAACGGTCCTGTTGCCAGCTCGAACTCCCTTCAAGCTCTTTTTCCTCATCTTTAGGCATCGTAAACGCAGGAAAATGGTAGCGTTTTGAATGATGATTGACGGTAATGAAAGGCAAATTTTGAAGGCCCGTTTCAGTGTACAGAACGTAGATTTCATTGAATGTCATGGCACTTGGCAGGTATCGTTTCAGTTTTGAACTTGACCAAACGCGTGCTGATCATCCTAAACCGAATCCAAAACCTTATTCAATTAACCCATTCCCCGCCATGGGCCCCATTTGCGACTCCTTGGTTGTGGGCCATGCAACAAAAAATAGGATCCCCGAAAAATCTTCAGAAATCTCGATTCACTCCACGAAGAAGGTGAATACGAGGTGAAACCTCATTTGGCAAAAATGTTCATTTTTTGTTGTACAGGAACAAGTTTTCTTAACCGAACTCTCAAATTTCGATCCAACAGTCAAATGATTTTTGGATTGCAAGAAAAGTACTTTCTACTGCTGCTGAATTCAATAATTGATTAATTCCTGATGCAGTACATAATGAGGGGGACCTGTCATGAGCTGTATTTGGAGATCGATCTGAAAATTTACATCATTTGAAAAATGTTGGCTTCAAAATGAAAATTTGAATTACGGTATTCCAGCATATAAAAAGGAAGTTCGGCAGCTATTGGGGTCAAAGCTGCCAACGTCCCGAACGGGTCGCGTGATCTGCATTACGCTGATTATAAAGAAGAAAGTATGTTTTGGGCGACATCTAGGTGGTGTAGAGGATAAAGTAAAGCCCTACCCGGCCTTGAAGATCATGTTTTTGTAGAAATAACCGAACTTTTTTTCCGTTCACAACTTGTGTTGACGATTTATTTCGTGACGCAATAATCGTTCGTCCCCGACCATCAATTTGAAAGTGTTATGACAGCGGAAAACGATCAATCGTGTGATATCTGCAGTTTCTTTATCTTCGAATGTTTTCATTGGAATAGACATGCCGTTCTTCCAGGTCCTCATAACGTCGTTTGATTATTTATTGATCAATTTTCGCTGTTACTGTGTCGTTCTAATTTTGCGGAACGTTTTTTTTTTCTCAACTCTTTCGTAGATGGAATTGATATCTTGTGGGTAAGATTCGTTACAAAAACAATCATGCACATCAAATGCATGTTATTCAAATGTAAATGTGGAATGAGCTTTGGAAAACAAATTTCATTTGCGCGTAGGTTTCAATGCTTTTTTTTGCTCTGGAATCCGACGTTTGTTGGAACTTCAGTGATACCAATGGAACTTTTCAATCAAGTAGGCAAACAAGACCGTCGTTCAGTATTATTGTTGCTGTTCCCAATCGCAATTTCAAATGTTTTCCATGTTTCTATGCGACCTTACCTATTCCTTTTTTTTCCCAACTGAAGTCAGCGCACGTTGTTCGTCCGTGTTGTTTACGCGACTGCCATGTGTTCACCATGTGGTGTGAACGTGATCTGATTCCTCTAGGCAGCCTTGTTTGGCGTTGCTACACAACGTTCTGTTTCTATTTTTTTCCGTTGCGTGGAAATGTTGATGCGAGATACTGTACTGGGAATTTCCTGATCCAAGTTTACACGAAAATAATCTTATTTACGCATGTTTGTGTGCAATTCTCTTTAGCTTATTCTGTATGTCCTAAAAACCTTTGGTGCGGCCTATGCTGGATAATTTGCCATTAGGCCGCAAATGCAGTCTCAATTTTCTGGCATTTTTCAATGATAAAGGTGATTAGCCTCATAATTTTTTTGTTTGTTTATATAATAAAAACAAAATCACGTTTAACCTCGACGCACTCGTGTGGATTTAAATCATATTTTCACGAACAAGAATTTATGTTATGTTCAACGATTTTTTGTCTCTCTATGGGAAAATCTAAATTTTATTTCTAGTTTAGGTCGTATTATCCCCGGAAACTTGCAAAATTGGTTTTAATCTTTGAAGCGGTTGAAGTGATATGTACTGTATTAGGGGAATTCGAATTAATTTTCAAGGTTTGATGAAAATTGGTAATTTATTAAAGTTGCAGTGATGGCTTGTCGACCTTTGGCTACCTCCCACGTGTTCCCTTTCTGCTGGGCGTTCCAAGACTGCGCTGTTTCCCTTTAAGGTGGGGTAAGAAAGTTTAGATTAGTTGTGTAGTATTGATTGTCCATCTTCAGGAAGAGAGACAGTAAGACTGGGTTGCCATCGCTGCGCTGGCTCTCGGTCGACACTCGCATCTGGATTAGGAAAGAAAGAACAGTGCTTCACACTTTTTCAAATCTTATTCGAACGAGAGAAAAAAATCGTGACGAAATCCTCGTCGAATTTAATTAAGACGGATGGCTTCAACATTTGTAGAAGCACGATGAGCATTCACGAAGACGGGTGTAGCCTCGTCAAAATATAGAGATCAACAGGATATCATGTACGACGAAGACGTACGGTAACGCTTGGACTTGAATCTTAAGACTTCATTTGTATGAATAAACGTACAATACTGTATAACTATAATTCACGTAGAAAATGGAGAATATTCACAGCTAAAATTTTCCACTCCGTAATACGTTCTGGTAAACACGGTACCGTACTCGTACTGCACTGAAGGAATTCACGGTAATGTGAATAAAACCGGCTTTTTCCCTCTTGTCCCGCAACACTGAAAATGTACATTACATTACTGTACTGTACTATGTTTAAGTTCCGGATTGATGGAATGTGTTTCGCACTTTTCGGCGACTGCGAGCGAAAACTGGAACAAGATTTGGTCGTTTCGCTGTTCACTTGATGTGAATACTGTATACAGTACAAGAAAAAAGTCGTTTTATTGAAACTGTACGAACAGGAGTAGTTGAAAATGTAATCTGCGAAAAAGCACCGCGGCTGTAATGGATTCTCCTGCTGTTCTTTTTTTCGGAATGAAGTGCTGAATAGTGATATTGCAATCATCAGCAATAACTTTCAGGGGAGGACAAGAATTGAAAATTGAAAGATACTGTTCATTCTAGGAGCACAAGCATGGTGCAGAAAATGAGGAAATTTGAATAAAGTACTTTACAGTATTGAACATGGATGGTTTACTCTAAATGTTGTCATCCTTTCGCGATTCAAGTACAGTAATCTACATGAGAATGTTTGTAAACAAAGTGCTGACTGACAGTGTTGCGCAGATTAGACTGAAAAGCTTATTTCCACTGAATGTGATTTCAAAATGTTCAATGTGCATTCACGCGAAGAAAAACTGGTTCGCCACCTACCTGTATCAAGCACTTGGCTGTTGGTGGTGAGGTAATATCCTTGAGTGGTAAATTACCGTACCTCTGCTTTGAACCCATGCTTATTAGACCAGCAAAGGTCTGTATAATTTTTCTGTCAAGTGTCAGGATAATTTCCTTCGTTAAGACGAATCGAGTCTTCCGAAAGCTTCGCATATTTCTTGACTTTTTTGGAATATAAAAAACATGTAAGCAACCGGAGTGCAACGTGTAAAGCATTGAATGTCGAATAAAAGCAATTGCTTTATAGAAAAACATACTGTGTATAATACAAGAAATTCCCAATTTTGAACCAATTCAGTACTGTATTTGTAAATGCAGGGTACAGCAAAAGCTCACTTGATATCAAAAAAGGCTCAGTAATACTTCGCAGTGCATTCATGCAGTAAATCACGGTTCGTCGATTATTTTCGACGATTACTTATCATTTTCCACGTGGTTCTCTTGACGCTTTGCATCTGGTAAAAATATGTTACTGTACAGTATCTAGAATTCTAGACCCGTGTTCCCCAACCTTTTCGGGCCCGTGGAAATACCTGTCATGAAGTGCTCTACCCAAAAATTGCATTGCAAAAATTAAGTCAAGAACCAGTGAAGCAGCTATAGTTGAATGTCAGCAAACAATTGAAAAGCTGAGCATCAAGACAGGTTTCTCGGAATGAATACGTGAAAAGATATACAGTACTGTATTTCAGTTTCCAGCAGATGAAAATTTGTCCCAAGTGTTTCATATTTTTCATCACATAATTTGAGCTGCCATAGTCCTTCAAAATTTTTAGAATAAGAAAACACACTAATTCATTTCTACCTTCCATAAATTTAATTGCCGGGTACGATTTCCTGCGAACCAGCGGAAACCTTCCGCGGACCACGGATTGCAGACCACAGACAGTTTTTGAGTTGTACTGTACTGTACTGTATATGTTTTCGAAGGGTAACCCGAGTATTTCTGGGTTCACAGTGCAGTAGTACAATTTCAAAATGTCCGTGTTGACACGTTCGACGTCTGCGATGACTCAAAGGGTCAGCGTTTTGAACCGATGATCGTCGAGTTGAGTACAGTACAGTATTGTAGTTAACACGAATCATGATTCAGAAGTTTCCGACGCACAAGATTTTTTGATGCCAACGTGGAACGAGACACGCGCGCCTTCATTTTTAAAGCGCGCCAGAACGAAAACAATTCTCGGAACCGTTCTCCGTTCTTTCCAACTTCGCTTTGTATCCGCGGCGTGGAACATGAAGGGAGATAACGGAGTAAAGAAGTGGGGCATTCGACTCAATTTTCGATGCGATGGGCGTAGGGATGGAGTATTTCAGGCACGCAATTATTTTTTCCACCGAGGCATCATTTTCAAGAGGAAGAGCGCCATTTTGAGTTGCTGGTCGAAAAAAAAATTAGAATGCGTATCTATCGAGGGAAAAAAATATTCATACCGCCACCGTTTGCGATAAACAACTTTGACGCAGTTGCTTTGTTATAACTTTGTAGCGAAAAGAAAGTATAAAATTCTAGCGAATGTGTGCATCAGATTTTCTGCGTCGCAGATTTTCAGCTCTACCGTGTTGATCGATGATTTGGCTCCGAATACCTGATGCTTCTGTTCGAATGACCAATGCTGCATCTATCCCTCGAGCACCTTTCTCATTGAGGATTTGAGTAGAATTTGTGAATGAAATTAGAAATGCTAAAAATGTTCAAAAACCACCTGAGACTTTTATTCTTTGAGTACTGTGCTTTTCAAAGTGATGAGTAGATTTACGAAGTTCTATACAGAGTTCTGAAGGAGTTTTTCTAGTTTCCGTATTTTTCAAATAGAATCCTCTGAACCACTGAGGAATGAATATCGATACCGAAACGATTCACTGTATTTGATCAATCGCTACGGCTCGTATTCATTCACTTCTCTGATCGATCAGGGGGTTTGTTCATGTATGGACATTCAAATTCCACTTGCACGTCTATCGTCACTGACGCAAAAAGTGTCATGATCGGAACTGTCGTTGTTCGGGAACACGGATGTGATTTTTGTGGCTACGATGATTCAGGTGGACTCTCTCTGTACGACGAAATTCAGGGGACAAAAAAAATTCGTTGTAGAGAACCCGTATAACAGAAAAGAACTCAATGGGACAAAAATAAATCGTTACGAAAAAGAAATCTTGTATACCGGATCGATTTGGAGAGAAGAGTCCAGCTGTAGAAATGTCCAGTACAGTACAGTACGGTATTCGAATTACAGTACTGTATATGGACTGTGTACTAATTTTTGAAAGGTACCAGCGGAGCAGGTAAACCCGATTTACCCCAAGTTGCTGGGTTCACCATTGTATTTTTTTCGGCTGAGAATCTTCCCATTTTTTCGAATTGTTTTCCAAACTTGTTGATGAGCTCCCGACTTCTTTGTTTTTGCCTTCTTCCTACCGAACTCCGGAAGTGTTGTAGACTATCTAGCGCGTAAATACAGTGAATGGCGCCCTATGTTTGCCCGAAGTACAGCACAGTACAATACAGTTATTTATATATATTTTGTCTCAAAGTAAATGACTAGACTCGCTAGCGTTGCGTGTGGATGTTTCGGAGCAGACAGAAGCAGCGCGTCTTCGTCGCAATCGTCGGACGACGAGACACGAACGTCGGAGTTTCCCAACATCTTCCGCTAGGTTTCTTGTCCTTTACTGCTTGTATAAAAGAAGGGAAAAAAATATAAGGAAGGCGGTTCAACCAAGCATGTTTTGCTGGCTGAGCTTGTTTGGTTGCCCGCGCGGTGGTGGAACAAAGCGAAGTAACGTACGTACGAACGTACGCGTGTCTGTGTCTCACTTCGCGGTGTGTTTTTCCCTTCACTAGAATCGTGGTTGGTGCGACGCAGGAACCGCGTGACCGTACGTTTCTGCGTCGAGAGCTAAGCCTCGGATGATGCTCTGATTCGAACGTTGTTGTGGCAGAGAGGGGAGAAAAAAAACATGAATCACGATTTCCGCAACAATGTCGCGCTCGTCTGTTTTTCCTTCCATGTTGGCGGGATTGAGAGGTCAAACTCCTCCTGCGTTTGGGTTACTTCTGCGTTTGAATCGCGACTGGGACGTGGGAAGAAAACATCGGTTATTATTGAAAATTATTCATAAAGGAGAATTAATTTTAAGCATATCCTTCGCATTTCTGGGACGACGGTGTGGCGCCGAACTGCGGAAGTAATCGGTCTTCGGCCCTTGTCCCTATGTCGGAAAATATTTCCCATTGACTTCAATCGGAACCCATTTAATTGTTTCTCCATATCTAAAATATATATGAATGGAATTGCGTTATTCTTTAATATCGAATTTGAGCTGCGTTAATCTATTCTTCTGAAACATGCCTCCAAATTTCCGTAGTGGGGCAAATTATCGGTTCTCTTCACTTCTTTTTCCGCCAAATGAGGCTCTACAACGGAATTTTCAATGTGGACAAAGCACAGTTTCCGCTCAATATCGCCTATTCATGAGAATATGCGTACCCCTTTTTTGTCCAACTTTTAAAACTGTTGAACTGCAATGGTGCTTCTGCAGGTACATTTTTATAATACTGTATTACGCTATTCGCGATAAAATGCGTCTCTACCTGGAGGTATTCTAGTTGGACGAAATCTACGTCGATTCGGTTCCAGCTTCCGAAGAGGTTTCTGAACTTCGCAACATTGTTCTTGTGGTTGATTCGGCATGTGAAGGATGCTGAAGGATGCTCCCAATAATAAGGCAGATAGTAATTGCCAAATCGGGTTTTAAAGTTGCCGTTTTGAGATTATTTTTCTAATCAAATTTTTGACTATTAGGTGGTGATTTAGACGAGACAGGATCTTGATTCAGAGTATTATGTGGGTCACCCAATTTTACGTGATAACTTTCGATGCTTTCGAGTGAGCTCACGTATTTGTTGAAATTTATTTTCGAGTACAGTACTGCAGGAGGATAGTTTTTCTCTTCTATTGACGCACTGTACTTATCTTTTTTTTTTTTTTTTTGGTGACGAGCGTTTGGTTCCTCGTGTACAGGCTTCGTGAATCACAAGTATTTCGAGTTCTTGAGCGAATTGCTGATTCATCTCTTTGTTTTGCAGTTGATTACCCCTGCCAACACCCCTGCAACACCGCCAAACTTTCCAGACACATTGCTGGCCTTGTCAAAGCTTTCCACCTCTGAAAGCGGCAACGGAAATTTCGGCTACGGCAGCGGCATTTCAAGTCGACCCCCTACACTGTCCTCCTCGCCGTCAGGTGAATGGCATTTGCCATTTCCTATTGGCAAACAATTCCGCCATTTGACCCTTCCTCTCGTGCTTAGCGAATTCCTTTATGCTGCTTTGATGAAAAGGGGCGATGTTCACGGAAAAATTTGCTGTCCGTAAAATTGTTGGGATTTTGTTCATTTTTTCGGTCTGGAGCAAAGTTTTTGTATGAAGGGCAAAGTTACCGAGAGATGATTTAATTTGGGTTTTTGAATTTCTCTTCTGCGTGTGATAAATTTGAAGCATCATTCTGATTGCGAGCAGTACCTGATGAGAAAGCGTACACCTCGTTGTGTATGTTTTGAAAATATATTTTCCTGGAAAAGTTTGTCATCATTAGCTGAGTAATTCAAGATGGTGACTAGGATTTATTTTTATCAGTTAGTTACTCACGAAAACACGTTACTTGTTTCCAAGTGCGAACGTAGATTGTATTCGTTTCCATAGGCTTATTCGGTCGAATTTTCTAGGCCCTGGGTTGTGAGTAGATACGTTATCTGAAGCAGAACTATGGCCTGATATGATTATGGTTTGCCTCGTCATGATCGCGCAATGGTAGAATGATTACGTCGTATCAATGACCCAACTTCGTAGTGGTGAAAGATGATTACTTCCGTTAATGATTAGAATCGTTCGTGAAGGTCAAATCTTTTCATTATTTTTGACAGAAGAGGGCCAAATTGATCACCCTAAATAATTGAGAAAAATTCACGTTTTTTTTTTTTTTAAGTTCAAGATGTCTTCGTAGCGTATTTAATTTTAAAAGATTTGCGACGGTGGGTTTGCCCGGATCTTTTTCATCAGTTTTTACTTCGATCACCCAAAATACGTTCGATATCATTATGTATTCCTACTTCAAAATTGAATATTTTGTTTTCAATATTTTTTATTATCGAATCAAAGAAGTTCCTTTAAATTGATTTTTATGACGATTTTCGAATCACAGGGAAATTCGACTGGATCAAATTAACCTCCATTGAGTTTTTAGATTTTCAACCCCTTTTGACTCGTCTCTGCGATTGTTCACGTTCTCCATGCCTTCTTGTCGCTTGAATCAATTTTTATCCTTGTCACTCCATGTAGTATGGAGCGATTTCAAATTGAAAACTTATCGAGTTGAGCCAAAAAGAGTACCGGTATCTTTTTTTGCTTTCAACGCCCGAATTTATTGCAGATACGTGATAAACAGTACTGTACGTAGTGTGCCGTATTTCAAATACCTTCCGATTGTATTTGCGACTTGTTCCGAACAGCTCAAGTTTAATAGTAAGTTTAATGCTCTTCGGGATAAAATTTGTTTATTTATCTGACGCCATGCTTCTCTGTGTAACGTCGAGACGTTGAAGTTATTGCCATTATCCTGTAATATACAGGTATTGAACAGTAATGTAATGCAGTATTCCTCCCATAAAAACTGTTCAACGAATTTAGGTGCGGACTAGGTTATAACATTTGTGTAAAACATTTTTCCGACGCATTCACAAGGAATGCGGCTTATAGCTCAGTTAATTCATCAGATCTGTGCTGACTGCTGAATTACGTACGAAAAATCGATGCAAACGCAAATTCTTTTTAAATATGTGGAAATAGGATGGTTGTTCATTTGGAGAACTGATGACTGTTATTCAAAAGCAAATTCGTGCATTAGCAGTACTTCTTCGTAATTTACCGTATTTTTGCGGCTTACGCGAATCGTCCACTTATACTTGCCAGAAATGAGATTGCTCCGTGGAAATGCGCAAATCGGGTCGGTTTCTTTAAGCTTTGTTTTAAAAATTTGCCATGAAATATGGGGGTAAGATGGATGAAAACGAGCACGAGGTGTGAGGAAGTGTCGATGGCGTGTAGCGAAAACTTAGTTTTGCCAAGGCAAGAATCATCGGACTGTGGGTCTGACTCGAATGTCTTGTTGTTGTTTTCCGACCGGAAACCCCGAAGGGATGGACGTGTCTCTGCATTGTCCTGCGCCCAGCGGCGGGTCCGTGTTCGGCGACTATCACTACCAGCATCACCACCACCACGGGAACTTCTCGTTCGGATCTCAGGCCCAGGCCGGCTTCAACTACCAGCCGCTCGACTCTTCCAGTGCGGCCAGGAGTCAACAGATCCCGATCCAGGCCCAGCGATAGGCAATAGTCGCTCTCCGCCTCCGTCAAGCCTTCTTCTTCTTTCAGTCGCCCGATAGGAAATGGAAAACGCGTTGCGGATTTTTTTTTTTCTGGTTGTTTGTCAACTGAACTCGCGTTGTCAATTTCCCCACTCGATTCGCCAAGAACTGTTGAGGTAGAATGCTTGTAAACTCTGTTGCGAAATTCAGGAGCTGGCTAAATTTCCTCCTGATGGACGTAAAGGACTTCTTGTGCGACTTTGATCAGTTGTCCTCTGCTCACTCAGAGTGAAATAATTCGTGTGTTCAGAGTCGTTAACGAAATATGAGCCGTGTTTCCCTGAAAATGAGTCTCGTGTCCAAATTGTATCCGTTTTTTTCTTTCTCTCCTTGCTGTGCCCAAATTCACTTCAAATTTTGGCCATCCCCAAGAATTTCCTCTCTGTTACTGTCGCGCGATTATGTCGTTCTTTGAAAATTTCTGAAATTAATTTTGAACCGAGACATTTTGGTTTTCTTTTCGAATTTTAAAATTACATATATTGGAATCTTGCGAAACAGAATGGGACTGAAACCTAATACAGTATGTTGTTCTATTCCAATTTCTGTTAAAATTTTAGCCATAATTTCGCGTGATTTGAGTAGAAGCCTGATTCATATACTTCCACTTCGAGACGGATCTTGAATGAGGCTTAATATTTGGCATTGTAGACATTAAGATGTACATTAAATCTGAATCCTGTTCTAGGGATTAGTCTATCGATATAAATTTTCTGGGAAATGAGGCATCAATTTCGAGTTTTAGCTTTCGAAATAGAAAATGGTAAAATATTCTTCGCATTTCGATAGATTTACTTGGCTCAAGTCTTCTTGATGTGATGAAAAATTTTCGCATCGAGTAAATCTGAGTTCTCCCGTTTCAAACCAATCGAGAAAAATTGTCACCTTGCGTTCAGTTGACGGAAACTGCAATCAGCCTCCCGATTGTTCTCTTGTGTACCTCAAAATTATGTCGTTGCTTGTGGAGAAAGAGGAAAAAATGTTTTTCTCTTTTGTTTGGAAGAAAATTGCGTTGTGGGCGGGGAGGGTAAAGAAAAAAAAAGGAGAAACATGTGGAAGAAAAAGACAAGAGGAAGTCTGTCTGTTGTGCGAGGATTTTTGTGGAACTCACGGGTTTGCTTCAAACTGCGGCAGAAACGATTGAATCGTTTTTTTTTTTCCTCACCACCTGAAACGATGATTTCTGCGTCGTCTCCGCGAATTTAGGTTAGGACTTCGGATTTTTGTAAGCCTGGCCGTTAGGGAATTTCGCTTGAAGATTTTTCCATGAGGAAAACCGTTTATTTTGTTTCTCTTCCGAAAATCGTACGTACGTTCCCTTTTGAGGTGGTGAAGATTTTTCCCCCGTGAATTTTGCTGGATCGTTTTGAGCCACCCTTTTCGGACTTGCTGCGTTTGTATTCCGGTCGCTCATATTGGTGGAAGATATTTTACCGGATTTTTTTGTTTAATTTTCCTTTGGGATCAGCAAGAGTCTGTGAAAAGGAAAGCTAAAAACATTCATCGCAAATCTGTCGAGGGAATCACCGATCACTGCATTTGTATGGTCCAGCGGCGGCGGAAATCTTCCGTTATGCCGTTCTGCGTTGAAGTCGCTTAGAAAACGGGTATCATTCACTTTTTAGTTTCCAAGTTTTGTTCGGGTTTCGAGAAGAGATTTTTTTTTTTTTGTAAAGGACGGAAAAATTTCAAGCGAGTTTTCCAGTGGTTGGGAAGAACACTTGGATTTCCTGGAAAGCGTTTCTATTTTATTCTCCGGCGAGGATGTGATTTTTGGCTAGACCCGCTTACGGCTCTCGGAATTCGATTTTCTGTGGCTAAAGGTGTCGCAGTAGGCGGAGTGTGTCGCTTGATTGGTTCAGGATGTGGGCGTTTGAAGCTCGTTTGTTGTGATTTTTGTTCCTCCTCGCGCCAGAAAAAGCAGTGGAGGTGAATGAAGGAATAAGCATCGCGTGGGAGTGACTGCTGAAGAGTCTTGTAGACCGATGGAAGAGCCTCCCTTGCGCATCTGTTCTCCAGTTTTGTGTACAGGCGACGTTAACTGGTTTTTTCATTGACGTATGATGTGCATGGGATTGAAGCGCGATCGTGGAAAATGGAATAAAGAAATTGCGAGAAACCTGTTGTCGAGAAACAAATTGCCCTAATTTCCTGGCCTTTCAACGATGATGCAGGAAACGCTTTCTCCTGACCAGATCGGCATTGGAGAATACTGTATTTCAATGTACTGTGCTGCCCATGGATGTGGACGCATCTTATCTAGGTACGTGGCTGCCAAGACTGGACAGTTGAATTGAACGCTGATCAACTCTTGACGTTTTCCCCGCGACGGAGAAGCCGTGTTTGCTGATTGACTGATCGCATTCTTGTCTATCACTAACTCGTTAACATTGAATTACTGTACTTGGAGGAGGAAGTGAATACTTTTCTACGACGGCGTAATGGTCCTCAGATTTGAAGGTTAACTTTTGCGGTCTACCTGCTTGCTGTATCTACAGCGGAATTTTCTCCACATCATACATGTAAACCTGCTTGTACAAGGAAAATCTGAAATTTCAAAGTGATTTTTTTACCATTTACAGAACTTGTGAGCCAGGGACTTTTAATTCTTACATATGAGCTGGGCATACATCAAAACTCGCTCAAACAGAAAACAACAAACAAGGGAGCACGGAGCTGCCTTCATAGCATGGAATGAGTCTTAATAAATGTACTGTTCGACTTGAATAGACAAGGAATGTCAAAGCCTGAGGCGAGAAATGTCCACGGCATTTTAATTATGGGTGTTCAATCCCCAAGGTGAGCGGCGTATTCATTACTCTACGTTGTGCGGTACTTCAATTGTAGACTTCAAATTTGGTCCAACGTCATCTAGTATATTTTAAACACAGCAAAAACTGCATGTTTTGAAGGAACGATAAGATGTCTCTCAGAACTCCTTTTTTCCGGCAGCTGATTTCAGTGTGAATCATCCAGCAGTAATGGGTATCCCATGATTTAGCCTTTTAGAACTGTGGTCCTCCCTCTGTTGGGATAATTTTGGCTAATGAATGAGCTGCGTGCTGGTGCGTTGTGAGCATGTAACAGAATCCTTGGTCCTGTGCACCATTTTTAGAAGAAGCTCTCTCTCTGTTTGTTTTTATCATTTCGAAGTAAAAATAAGCCTATTGAGTGTGATTTCGCTGTCTTCATCCTTGAACGTGTTCTTGGAAAAGGAAAGCATGGGTTTTGTCCCTGAAGGCCATCGGGCTTCTGCAAGAGGCTCCTTCCAGGTATAGGGCGAGGAGAGTATTGGAAACGTTCGGCATGTGCTGGAGCTAGGGTAATATTGCGTCAGTAAATCAGCGCAATAGGCCATAACCTCCCCTGTACTGTATCTCACGATTTCGTTATTCCAAGGAGATTCGGCATCTCAGTGGTTGAAGCGAATGTGTATTTGTATGGAGTTAAACATCTGACGCAGCGGTGCGAAACGAGTTCAAATGTGATTTGTTCGGGCTTCAAGAATTCAGACCAAAGCCATATTGCCGCAGTGCGTAAGATTGTCTTGACGTACGAGATTACCGCGAGTTACATAAACTTTGCCATGTTGAAATCCAGTACATCAATTCATTTCTGACTTTTGTTATCTTCTGTGTTGCGCTTATTTCATTCTGAAATTGTATCCTTGATTTATGATGATCTTCTTCAGGCTGTCTTTTCCCTGTTGACGATTTATCTTCATCACTGTGGCTATTGTACTGTATGATTGTTCGGGTGCAGGATAAAATCCCGTGGGAGAAAAAATCCCGCGGCCCGAAAATGCCGTAGGCCCAAAAAATCTCGAAAGGTCCGAAAATCCCGTAGGTACGAAAATCCCGAAAAATACGTTTTCATATCAGGAAAACATAGTTAGAAAACTACAGAAGGGCAATGGTAATTAAACAATTCAAAATTATCAAAGAAGTCTACACGCAGTTATGCATATAGTGATATTTCATTTTCAATCTTGTTATTCAATATACAGAACATGATGTATAATAAATAGAATAAAAAATATATAAAAAGTCCAAAAATTTTCAACTCTACAAGATTTCCACCCAAACTGATGCATCAAGTTTATTACTTCAGAAGGGAAAGTTGAGCTGTGAAAATCATTAAAATAGTACAGTACACAGTTTATATACTAAACAATGCAGGGATGAAGGCTCCAAATGAAGGCTACATCTTTCCCAGGCTTCCTCACCTTTCTTTTGAGAAAGATGAGGAAGTGAAGGTGAGATTCTATTGAGAAAAATAATTCCTAAACCTCCCAAACTCTTGGGAGGAATTAAAACCCTTGCACTTTCACAATTTCATAATCCACCAGATTTTTATTCCTTCTAGACAGTTGGAAGGGTAACCTTTACAGACAATATTACAATTTTGTAGTACAATTGGGATTTTCGTACCTACGGGATTTTTGGACCATGCGAGATTTTCCGGCCTACGGGATTTTTGGGCCGCGGGATTTTTTCTCCTACGGGATTTCATCATGGAGCCTTCTCAGGTAACTCGGGCACTGTTTCTGATAAAATTGTGCAGTACTTCCATTGTAGACTTTAGAATTTGATTTAACGACATCTAGTATATTTCAAACACAGCAGTGACTCAACGGAATGATAAGATGTCGCTCAGAACTCGTTACTCCCCTTCTTCCGGGAGCTGCTTCCAGTGTGAGTCATCCGGTTTGTATCCCACGATTTAGCCATTTAGAACTGTGGTCCTCTCCCGGCTGAGATAGTCGTAGCTAATGAATGATCTGTGTGCCCATGTGTTGTGAGCATGTAACAGAATCCTTCGTCCTGTGCACCATCTGTATAAGAAGTGTGCTCCCTCTGGTCCATATACTCATTTCGAAGTAGAAAACGCCTGATGAGTTCGATTTCGCTGTCTCCGTCTTTGAACCTGTTCTTGGAAAAGAAAAGCTTGGGTTTTGGCCTTGAAGGCCTTCGGGCTTCTGCAAGAGGCTCCTTCCATTTATAGGGCGGGGAGAGCATTGGAAACGTCCAACATGTGCTGGAGCTGGGGTAATAACAGTAAATCAGCGCAATAGTCCAAATCCTCCCCTATACAATACTGTATCTCACGATTTCGTTATTCAAAAGAGAATTGGTGTCGCAGTATGGTTGAAGCGAATGTGTATTTGAATGAGTTATACGCCTGAGGTAGACAGCGGTGTGAAACGAATTGAAATGTGTTATTTGTTTGTGCTTCATAAATTTAGGCAAAAACCAATAATTGCCGCAGTTCGTTAGATTTTCTTGACGTACAAGAATGCCACGCGTTAGATAAACTTTAACATGTTGAAATCCGGTACATCAATTCATTTCTGACTTGTGTTATCTTCTTTGTTGAGCTTATTACAGAATTTTATCCTTGTTTTATGATGATCCTCTGCAGGCTGTCTTTTCCGGTTGACGAAAGTGCCGAGAATTCCTCTTCATCACTGTGGCAATTATACTGTATAATTGTTCATATGAAATTGGGCGGTTCCTTTTCATTTTGACTACTGTACTGCTTGGTACGTGCTGAATCGGGGTGAAATGGTGCAATAACTGCACCGTTTTGTTCGGAGAAATGAAGGATTCTGAAGCTATATTTCACGTAAATGAAACTTCTATGGATTTCCGCACGTTTCCATTTCTTCCAACGGTGAATGATTTGCTGGGTGATGAGAAGCATCAGGCTCTGCACGCAGATTTCACGAGTGGTCAATATTTGAACATCAGTCATTATCTTCACGTTCAATCCCGCTTGATGAGAGAAGACTTCATAAAACCCTTGCGAGAAGGAGTAGCGGAAATCTCCAAACGAATTGAAAATGACCGCCGCACTTTCGCCGCTTGGCACAAGACTCTCAGTGTTGGGATTTATGGGAAAGGAGTGATTACTGGGATTGTTCGCAAACCAGTCGGTGTCACCTTCGAACTCAAAATTTCTTCGTCAAATTCAAGTCAAGTTCCATGGAAAATTGGAAGGCGGTTGATGTACGGCTCCGTGTTATGCCTTACTAATGATAACTTCAAAAGCGTAATGTTTGCGTCTATTGCGGAGCGAAAATTGCGAGACGCGAAGCATTGGATCGTAAAAATACGACCTGAAACTGATGATCTAAACTTGAAGTTTTGGATGGGCAGTCCTGAATTCCTGATCGTGGAAACCACTGCTTTCTTCGAGTCGTATCGTCAGATCATGTTTGCTTTGCGAAATATTCCTTTGGAGAAATATTCACTGAAGAAGTACATTGTGGATGCTGAAAATATCGTGTCTGTTCCTAAATATCTCTTGGATCACGAAGGCAAGGAGTCGCAGGTATTCCCTTTGGAATTCAGAGGACGAAATTTGGTGGGGAATCCTTTTTCCGGCGAATGGCCGGAACCTGAGGAACTTGGGCTGGACAAAGCTCAGTTTCGTGCATTCAAGGCTAGTCTTTGTCGTGAGTTCGCCTTAATTCAAGGTCAGTTCTTGATTCTTCATATAGATTCACTTGATTTTAATTGAGCCAGTGCTTCAATGCGGTGAAGCTGTTGGATGTGTGCCTGTATACTGCCTGATAAGACGTTCACATTACACGTTCCATGTTGATCGACTTGGTGCGATTGTGTAATTGTGTTGTAGTTGTTCCTTCTTGCCGAAGTTCAGAGAAGCCTTTTGTGGAGGCTTCAAAATTCATAAGTGCTCAAGCTGATAATAATTCGAATTTTATGCATTGCTTCTGTATAATATTTGTAAATTTTACTGTGTATGCAGGTCCTCCAGGAACTGGTAAAACCTTCATCGGCGTGAAGCTTGTTCAAGCTATGCTTTCGCGTCGTCAGGAATTCAACATTGACAGTGATGGTCCTATTTTGATCATGTGCTTCACGCAGCATGTATTGGATACATTTTTGAAAGAAGTTGGACGGTTTACTGAAAACATATTCAGGATAGGCGGACAATCTCGAAATGAGTTGCTGATGGAGCCAGCATATAATGGTCGGAACAGGATAAAAAAATCTCACGGATACGAATTCGAACTTTGTCGTAACATAAGAACGCACTTGCTGGATCTGGAAAAATCTCTGAGGGAACTGGAGATCCTGAGAAACGGTAATCAAAATGTTACAATTCGCTTGTGTATATACAGAGTATTGTACATTCTTTGAAAAGTTCCATTGTATCCCCCAGTAAGATTCGCTACTCTTCGTCCATTGAGTACGACTTTTGGTAGATGTCGCTCGCATTCTTAATTTTAGGATGAGACGTTACAACGATGTGGCGGGAGAGTTTTATTTTCTGTGACTATGCACAGATGCCGTGTCATTTATTGTTGCTCGAATTTCAGGCGTTTCTTCGGGAGCTGGAATCTTGTCCGTGAAAGCATTGCGCGAGTTCGGGTTGCAAATACCGAACAAATTCGCTTTGGATTTTAGTCTGGCCAATTGGCTGCGTTCCAACCAGCATCCTGACAATCTTTCCGAAGAGATTTTAAAACAAATTCTGGAAGGCGAGAATGAAGTTCTGCTTTCCTCCCGGAAGGCATCGGATTTCCCTCGGATTTATCAAAAGGAAGACTCACCAACAGAAATCTATGACTTTGACTTGGGCATTGAGGATGAAGCCTCAGCTGAGACACAACGGAGGAAAATCGAATCAGTTTACGATGACCATCGGGAAACAGTGTTAATGACAGCCGAACAGGGTAATGAATGTATCCGTCGTCACTTCGAGATTATGAATCTGAGTTTCGAGGAATCTGTGGAAAACGCTGCGATGATCGTGAATGAAAATGCAAAGAAGCTGCAAGATCGTATTGAAGACTCAAGGGATGTAACCATGTTTCGTCTGGTCAGGCAAAATTCCATCTCTTTTCCCAATTTTCAAAACATTTTTATTAGTAAACTTTTTAGTTTCAAAGTCATAGTATAGTATTGAATGACAGATTTCCTTCATATGAATAAAATCAAATGCTTCACCCTATATATAGATGTTGACGAGGTCAATCCCGCGAATTCCGTTCCATGAAATTCATACGCTGCATGTTATTACCATGTTTTTACCACGTTTTTATGAACTCACTTTCTTGTCTGTCTGTTTGTCCCGATCAAATTTTGAAACTCAAATTTCACTCACTTCCAGACTAGCTAGCAAGCTGAAACTTTCAGGATAGCCTAGAAACTGATGACAATGCAATCTTTTGTGAAAAAATAAATTTTAAGAATATTTTTTAAAAAGAATAAAATAATTATAGTAGATTAAAAAATTAATCTAAAAAACCACGTTTTCAAAAAGCAAAAAATAACCTTAAATGTGGTGCGCATCTATTTCATTTGTATATCACTTCTTCCCAACAATCTCCATGCGCACCACGTTTAAGGTTATTTTTTGCTTTTTCAAAATGTGGTTTTTTAGATTAATTTTTTAATCTACTATAATTATTTTTATATGTGTAGCTGAAGCTGATGAAAGCTGAAACTGATTTGGAACAAAAGAAAAACGCGAGGGCAAGATTTCAAGCTGATTCCATGCTTTTGAAAGTGGCGGCAAACTCGGAACTTTTTAAGCCACCCGAGGAATTGATCGGACCTGAGGAAGACTGGATCAACGCGAAGCCGAAAGCGCGGTGGTTAATTTATCGATATTGGACAAACCTTTTATTACGGGAGATAAGCAAGAAAATCGATCATGGGATTGAGAAGTACGAGAGATTGGTTGAAAGATACAAGGAAGCTCAAGATCGAGCCTTATTACTTCATGCCATATCTTCGGATGTCGTTGGGCTGACTACTACGGCTGCTGCGCAAAATATTTCTCTGCTGCAAAATATCAAGGCGAAAATTGGTGAGTTTATTATATCTGATTATCTGATGACTTGTACCACGTCGTAACGGTAATAATTGATTTCGCTCCTCTATAGTGGTAATTGAAGAAGCTGCGGAAATTCTGGAATCGAATACCGTGTGCTGTTTGTCGTCCCATTGCGAGCACCTTATCCTGATCGGTAAAGCATTTAGTTTTCAGACTCCGAAAACGTTGGATTATTGGATGGATGATTTTGCAGGTGATCAGCAATTCAAGCCGTCAACGCATGAATTCCAGCTTGCTGGAAACGTCGGACTGGACGTTTCGTTATTCGAAAGAATGCTCAAAAACGGCATTCCGGTCGAACATTTGCGTCAGCAACATCGAATGAGGGCTGACATTTCAAACTTGATCAAGCTGAATGTTCGCGAAGATCTTCAAGATCATGAGAGTGTCGGAAATTATGATGACATTCTTGGGATTGACAAAAATGTGTATTTTGTCTCACACAACGTCACAGAGGATGCAGCAGTGAGTTATTCAGCCATTCAAGAAAAAACCAATTCATAGGAAACTTATCACACTTCGAAATTGTTCAATATTAAAAGTGGAAAGATCATACGACTGCTGTCTACAGTAGCTTTGGTTCTTCGGTATTTTTCAGAATAAGGAATTGACGAGCGAAAGAAACGAGCCGGAGATGGAGGCCGAATTTTTGCTTGCATTGTGTAGGTACCTTCTGTTGCAAGGATACAAACATAAACAAATTGCAATTCTGGCGGTTTATTCAGAACAGCTTCTTGTCTTCAAAAAGGTGAGTAACTCTGCTAATTTTTGGCAACGTCCCAATTCTTTTTCTTTAAATCTTTTACTGCGCTTTTATCTGATTCCCTTATTGATTTTTTTTTTAAAAACTCCACAAACTCTGTAAATATCTAATACGTATCGTTCTGCTTCGGTATGTGATTCTGGAACTCGAAAAAATATTTTTGTTCGTAAAATATCGGAGATCTCCGATGGATTTATTGCACATGTACTCTCAGTTGGTCGCCAGTTTCCCGATGTGCGGAGAGGTTCGGATAACCTCGGTTGACAACTATCGAGGAGAAGAAACCGATATCATTCTATTGTCATTCGTGAGGAGCAACTTGGCAGGAAATGTTGGCTTTTCGAAGACGGACAATCATATTATTAATGTTGCTATGTCGCGAGCCAGGAAAGGATTATTCATGGTTGGAAACATGGATGCGTTGAGTTCGGAAAGTGAATTGTGGAGGAAGATGAAGCATGTTCTGGAGAACGAGAATCAGATCGGGAGAGCATTGCCTCTACGTTGTCAGAATCATCCGGATCAAATAGTCTCCGTCTTCAGACCCGAAGAATTTCCGGCCAACGGAGGTTGCATCAGAGTGAGTTCATCTACATCCCCGAACTAAAAGCATAACCTTTTTTGAGTTTTTTTTTACGCTGACCATGGATGATGGTTTTTGTTTCTTTCAGATTTGTAACGAATTGATTACTTCATGTGGACATTTGTGCAATCGTCTCTGTCACGTGATGGACAAGGAACACAGGACTGAAGCAGGACTTTGCAATTGGCCTTGTGAAAGAAAATGCACCTCGCCGGAAGGCCATCCGTGTAAATCCGTATGTGGGCAGGAACCTTGTCCTCCGTGTACTGAGAAAGTTGAGCGGAAGCTGAGTATCTGCAATCATCTACAAGAAATGAAGTGTTGCGAAGATGTCCTTGAGGTAGGTGTTTCTCACTTCTGTTCAAAAATCTTTTTATTTGTCTCAATTATATTGCGAGGGATTCTCCAATTCTAGAGTAGCACTTATTATCTAATGAAAAGTTCAAGTGTGTCAGTTTTTGAAAATTGAAAACAAAATTACGGTTCAGGTAAAATGTCGGACGAAGTGCAACACCAGGCTGGATTGTGGGCATGCTTGTGAGAAATATTGTCACGTCGAAAGTGACCCGGATCATGAGTTATCCAGGTGTTGGAAACCGTGTGGAAAATCTTGTCCGAGGAAACATCCCTGTCCAGGTATTCTTAATACTATTTTTCCTTTATTTTACCCTTACTTTTGTCAATTTGTGCTTGTGCCTTGCTGTATACAGTACAGTATTTGATACCCTGATCTGAATGTCCCAGTGATCCGGAAACAATTGTGAGAAAAACTCTCTTCATTTCGTAATGGTGATTTAATTCTCTCAACGCTCGTCAGAAGGGTTTGTGTCTTTTTTTCTTGAGCTTTTATGAAAGCGATACAAAATTATTCATCTATTATCGTCGGTGAAATATGTTGCCCATGATATTGAAATGATCAAATTATGCAACGATTTCTTTTAGATTTCGATAGAAAAAAAAACGCTTTGACGAGAAATTTGAAGTTTTTGAGTGACATATTAAATGTAAATTTCATGTACAGTAGTGTATCTGTTTTTGTATCAAGTGAAAGTATAATTTTATATACGTTGCAAATTTCGGCAGCACGGTGTTATCAGGTTTCGTGTCCCCCCTGCGAAGAACTGGTGGATTTAATATTGCCCTGTGGGCATATCGTGAAAGCTCGTTGTCACTTGGATGGCGATATTCTTTGCGAAGCAAAGGTTCGTCTTTCCGTTTTGCTACGTTTGTGATTTGTTACGGTTTTGCAAACTTGGAAAAATTTCCCTTCTGTTGATGCCAAAGTTTTTCATTCATTCTTTTGTACTCATCACATGTCATTTTGGTTGTTGAAAATGGTGCTGATGATTTCTGTGTATAGTGCGAGAATATGTTACCTTGCGGTCACCCATGCCCGAAGACGTGTGACGAGCCCTGCGGCGGCTGCAGGGTTCAGGTTCAAAAAACAATTCCGGACTGTTCTCATTCCGTGACGCTGGACTGCTCGAAACTTCCTGAAAGGTCGGATTGTCGAAAGGAGATCGAAATGTTACCGTGCGGACATAGATGCGCTGGAAAGCTGTGCTCCAGCATCTGCAAAACGAGATGCTCTGTCATTATGAACCTTGGGAAGGTCGGAAAGTAAGTTACTGAACGATGCTACTTTATATCTGCTTCGTATATGAAAGTTGTCCCACTTCTGAATGTCTTTGGTTATTTCTAGAGTAGGTGCAGCTGTAAAAAGAAAAAAATATTATGATGCAGCCCAAGCTATTCTAAGATTCTGGGGTTATTTTTAGTGTTCGCAAGAGAAGATTTAGATTTACTGCGTGACGAGAAAACTTTCCAGTTATAGTAAGAGTTGTCCACCCGCGTCATGAGCCGTTAATACTTTTTCAGGCCAGACTAACATAGACAATGTTATTTTGTTTCTAGCACAAACTTTCCTATATCTTGTGTAATTTTCAACTTTTTTCAATTATTATTTTTGTTGCAACAAATGAAAACCCAAGTGCATTTTGCATTTTTCTAAGAGAAAAGGTTCATTTCAATTTTTTAAAATTTCCTCTTCAAAAATATCATGTAAGCATTCTAAGCCCTAGTTTTTGCCTGAGATACTTTTCTTGCTGCCTAGAAATTTTACAAAACTTATGTTTATGTTTTATTTTATCTTCTGTCTCAAGGTAAGGAAGAGAAGCTGCTACGGATACGTCTGCCCAAGTCCCATTAGATCTTGTCCCCCTTTTTGCGTCCTTAAGCAGGGTACTTTTCCATTTAAGCAGGTTCTGCTCCTCACCCCATTTCCCTTTATTTTCCATCCTCCCAGTTAAAAAAAAAATAAAATGAAAATAACTGAAAATATAAATACATTAAAAGGGTAAAACTTTCATATAACCGATGTCAATGAGAAGTGGGAATACCCTCGTTTAGTGTTGAAATTATGGAACCGTATTATTTCCATATAAATAGGTGTGGGCATCGAGTGAGACTGCCATGTGACATCGTAACCAGCCGCAAAGTTTTGTCTGACGAGGAAGAAATGGAGTATTGCGACCATCCCTGCGGGGCGATTTTGTCGTGCGGACACAAGTGTGTTGGAAAATGTTCGGATTGTCTTCAAGGCAGGATACATGTGCCCTGTCAAGATCCTTGCGGACGAAAACTTGTGTGTGGACACATCTGCAAGGTTCCGTGTAGTTCCAACTGCCCGCCGTGCAGGGAACAGTGCAGTAATTCGTGTCCACATTCTGCATGCAAGAAGCTGTGCTGGGAGCTGTGCACTCCTTGTATGGTGAGACGTCTTCCTGTAGAATAGGAAGCCACGCACAATTTTTACCTTAGCAAAAGAGTAAGAATTTTTCTTTCAAGCCAGGGATACACTTTTTATGCGGTTGGGCTTTTATCCAAGTTTGGAAATGAAAAACAGCAATTGGTTGTTGCAGGAACAACTAGGGATTTCTTCCGCAAGATTTCCCCCGTCTTAATTGCTCTTACACAAAACTTCTAGATCGGTGAAGTTGCCAGATAAATAACTTTTTATGCTGGATTTTGATTTTTAATAGTTTTGCTACAAACAATGCTTGCATAAAGTCAAAGCAGGAACTACACCGCAGAAAAAAATATTCAAGCAATGGGTCTCCGGGAGCCGCGAGGCCAACACCCAGCACCACGCGTGCACAACGGTAGCCCCACAACATCCTACTTGTCAATGCCCCCCCCCCCCTTCCCCCTCATTCTGAATTTTGGGAACATGTGCAGACCCTGCAATACAAACATGAAGTTTACTGGTCAAATTGTTGCATCCTGCATTTACTTCTTTCATGCAACCACCCCTTTAAAACAGCAGCTTAGTCCAAAAAGATGCCTGACAACTTTTTTGAAAGTTATCTTTCAAAATGATTTTTTGAGCGTGCCATGACGCTTGGGACTATAAAACCAAAAATCATTCTAAAGAAAATTGAACAAGCTTTCATTCGGTTGTTTCTTTTTTCATTGTAGCTCAAGTATCTGCCAAGATATTTGAGAATTTAAAAATCGGTTCACTTTTTCCTGGTTCACCCAGTACAGTATGTACAGAGGAGTTCTGTGGGACAACAGTACTGTATAACATGATGACCACTGTACACCAAGAACTGTGGGTTTATGCTAGTTTAATTTCCTAAAAATTATGAGGGAGTTGAAATGTACAGTACTTTTTTTGCGATAGGTTTGATTTATCTAAAATACAAACAAATTCAATTAAAAGACCGAATCCATTTATTTGATGATGTGTTCATTCGTTGATGTGTTCATTCGTTGATGTGTTTCATGAATTTCAATCAGCATGAATGTACAGTACTTCTTGGCCCGATAAATGTAACAGAGAAATAGATATACTTTTTTTTAGTTTTTTTTTAAATTTACAGTATTGGATGAAAGCATGAATTTAAATTTTATGCGAATGTAATTGAACCGAGCTCTCAACTTTCAATTGAGTCTGCAGTTTTTAAACGTTGAAAGATCTCAAAGGATTCTGTTTGAAAATCGGTCAGCTTTTTTCCTGGCCGCCGACTCAAAGTCAGCATCATATATATTCTCCGTGAATTTTGTTCGTCAATGTGTTCTTTGGGATTTTTCTGAAATCTGCATATTCGTGGAATTTGGAATGTTATTTGTTTCGCAGGAAAAGTGCGCAAGCGGTTGTCCCCATAAGCCGTGTAAACGCAGGTGTTCCGAAGATTGCGGCACAGGCGATGATCGATGCAACGAACCATGCGCGAAGGTTCTTCTTTGTCATCACAAATGCGTCGGACTTTGCGGGGAAATGTGCCCGCCGTGTCGAGAATGCTCCGCGGATAACGTGGAGTTCTTCGATCTTGTCTTGAACGACGTTAGCGAAGAACCAGACGCGAGGTACGTGATTAATTCGAAATATATTTACATACAGTAATTATCTCTGAAGAACTCGCATGTTACTTTTTCTTTTCCATAACAATTGCATCAACATTGTAATTGCCTGGAACTTATGCTGCTGCGTGACCTTTGAAATAAAAACACAATTACGGTAAACTCGAGATGATCTCTGAATCTAGGTAATTTCTGGGATAAGGTGTGCAGGTCCAAAACTAAGAGAGGTGTGACAAGGGAATTTTCTGATACCGAATCGAGCAGGACTTCGAAAGAAAATTTTAAATTTCTCTCAAAATCGATTTCAATTTATCTCGAAAGATTCGTCGTTCTTCCCGAATGCAATCATGTGATGGAAGTTGTTGGATTGGACAAATGGATGCGAATGTCATTGGAGGTCATCGGGCAGAGGGTTTGTCCTCGTTGCACGACTCCGATATTCCGTTCTCGTCGCTACAAGGGAGAAATCAATGCTGCTCTCAGAAACATTCATGCTGTGAAGAAAAAATTCATTGAAGGAAGTCTGGACATACACCTCAAATTCTGCGGTATTGAAAATCCTTTCTTTTTCTGCTGGTATTTTTAAATTCTTGTCCGAAAGAAGGCTTCACTTCAAGGTTTTGATTGAGTTACTCGATTCGAACAAAAGGCGATGAAGCAGGGATGATGCGAACAATGTTTTAGTCGTCAAGTTTAATTGGAAATTGGAATTTCTGTGTTATTTCCGCAAATGACGGATTTGTCTGTCTTGCAAAATTTTCCCAGCTCTCCTATATTTATAAGCTAATGCACATTTACAAAGTAATCAAGAAAATTTGTTGTGTTATATTTAGACGGATCCGGGCCATCAAATGCAGTGCGGACGATCTCGAAGGCTTTCTCACAAGAGGCGTTCCTCAGTCAAATTACTCATGAAATTTCGCGCAAGAAACCTCGAGATCCCGAAGGAAGCAATACGCGTATGTTCGATTTTAGGGAATTGAACGGAGTGGAATGCGCGAGTATTACAAATTGTCTTGATCTCCTGGAAGTCATTGCTGCGTTGTTGGTGAAATGCAACGATGAAGACCTGCATCTTCCATCAACTTTCAAATGCCTGTACCGATCAAAGCTGTGCCGGGTGAGTTGAATTGATATTATAGTGATGCTCAAACTTCATTTCATGCGAGATTTTGACTCAAACAGATTCTATGACTACCGTACCATGTACACTCAAAAGCCAGTACAGTATATTATTGATGAAATATGCTTTTCCTTCAAACAGCAGAATCAGCAAAGTTCTGACCGGGATGTCAAAGATTTGAGCTCCTAGGAATATCTGAAAATAGAATATAGTATGGAGATAGTCCTAAATCAATGGATTTTCCGTGGTTTTTTTTTTCTTCACCGTGACCGGTCATGCGCGAGTCCTGGAATCCACTTTAGCACACCTGCCAGTCACCAAACGCTGGTCCCTCCAACCCGTAGCTAGGTCAGTATAATTGGCCTCCCCAATTCCCAGCCCACCGTACTGGGTCCCATTCGCCCAATTGTTATTGCACCCAGAGGCCGCTGACTGTCAGGTAAATCTTCATTCTAAAATCCTGGTTGCAGTGACCTTCCAGGCACAAGGAGTGCTGTGCAACCAAGGAAGAAAAAATAGGGTTAAATGGATTAAAATTGCTTTAAACCCAGCAGATGAATGCGCTTCAGTGATGGTAACTGTTTTATTTTAGGCTGAACAAAAATGTGAACTCATAAAATCTGCAATTGCAAGAAAAAAAATTACTGAAAACCAGGGTGCTGGGTACAGCAGATGATTTTAATTTTTGTCTTTGTAATTGCAGTTATTATGATGGTCAAAATTTTAATTCAGCCTAAAATAAAACAGGTACTCTCACTGAAGCGCAATCATCTGCTGGGTTAATTATTACATTCACCAAGCCCAATTTGAGGGTAATGACAAAATCTTTGCTAAAAAACAGATTTACGTGCTATTTTGATCCCCTCTACCCTCAACCTTTGTTCCTCCTTGGTCACAGATCATTCTTTGTGGGCTGGAAGCCTGGAAGGTCACTGTGACCAGGATTTTAGAACCAAGATTTACCTGACAGACTGTCAGCAGCCTCTGGGTGCAATAATAATTTGGTGACTGGACCCCTCTTGACTAGCTGGGAATTGGCAATTAAGGCAAACTGCTGACTTGGCTTGGGTTTGCAGGGGGGAAACCGTCACTATCCCCGGGACACGAAAGCCCGGGACACAGAATCCCCGCGCGACGATAGCACTGACACGAAATCCCCGCCATAGCTGTAACAAAAGCCCCAAACCGCACGCGCACGCCGAATAATAGTAAAATTAAATTATAAAAAACCACAAAATCAGATAACAAAACTACAAGCCCTCAAAGGGAAGAAAAACAATTTTCCGAATATACCAAAGAACAAACACATTTGCAATCGAACTTTGAACTGTGAAGGGAGACCCCCAACATTTCCGCCACAGAAGTGGAACATTCATCAGGCTGTGCTCAATGATCTTGGCTAGACAAACAATTTCAGTGAAGCCTGGAATCGCTATTTCAATGGCCTGGTTGGAAAGAAAAATCCCACCATTTGGATACTAATTTGCTGCCTGAAACAAGATGCTGCATTAGTTGCTACAACGCTGAAGAAATTTGATGACGATGGTGTCATTCCACATAAGCAAGTGTCAACTGTTGAGAGATATCGCCAGAAAGAACTGCGTCAATTGTGCAAAGATATATAATTGTGCCGTTATAAACCCGTTGGAGGGACCAGTGTTTGGTGATTGGCAGGGCTGGCGCATGACCCAGTACATTTTTGGAAGACCTATGTGTTAACAAAACTGGAGACTCCAACATTTTTTGAAAATGAAAATGGCTTAATATGTAACACTTCATGTCAATACCTTTTTTAATTCTGTGATATTGTGACTTTCTGAGTTTATGGATTGTTCTTTTCTTGATAGTTGGCGAGGTTGCTGGTGTCAAGAAAGCTCAGTTTGAACGCGTCTGATGTGAAATCAATTTTCGAGGAAATCCAGCGTTTCAATTACTCATTAAAACTTGAAACGATGCGAGTGAGTATTTTCATGGGAGACCAATTGGATGAATTCACTGGAATTCCCGTGCAATGCATGTCATTGATTTAGGGGAAAATCCATATGACGGAAGGCAAGCTATTGATTTCGAAAACTCAAGCAATTTTGTCGGACATCTGCTGTTTCACGGATGTGAAGGCAGCAAACGTGAGAAGATGTCTTGAGGAAGCTGCAACATTTTCCGAAGGTCCGGATGGGATATCCCATCACGAGAGACGAATGATAATGCAAGCAATGGGCCATAGTAGGCGGGGTCAGTGGTTTGCTTGTCCTAGAGGACACATCTATCTGGTTGGCTGTGAGTATATTTCTCATGCACTTCTTGAGATTCTTGTTCAGTATGATGGTTCGAAATTTAGTCAATTTGTCTGCGTGTATACGTACTGTTATTTCCAGCTGTTCTCCGATTTTGTTCATCGTTTTAAACCCAATTATTCGAACCATAATAAAAAAAAATAATTGTATATTTATAGCTTGCGGAACGTTGGGAAATCAATCACGGTGTCCGAGTTGCAATGAACGAATTGGTTGCAGAAATGGTACTCTGTTGGCGAAAAATCGGGTTGCAACGGAAATGGACGGCGCAAAGCTCTGCGGTTGGTCAGATCCTCATCCAACTATAGTTGTGAGGAAATAAATTGACAATCGATCGTAAAACGGTTCAAATCTGAGCGAAATGAATCCGGCTTCGGAGATCTTCCAAATCTTAAGGTTTCTTACAAGATTTTCTATTTTTTGATGAAGTTTACTCATCATTTCTGTTCATTGAGACGGACATAATTCAAAAGCATCGAGTTGGTCGTGTTTATTTTACATATTGTCAGCATTAGTATACAAGTCGGTATAATTTTTGGATCCTGAGATTTTTTGACTGAAAATGACAGTCATAGTGCAGTAGCTTGTTCTAGAATCTAGAGGATGATATGAATACAGTGCTTTAGATCGGTTGGTAATTACAGAAGTTTAATCCGATTTCATCCTTAGGATTTGTACATTTTGGGCATTGTAAGCTCGAGTCTGTAAAGCAAGCCGACTTCCTAATTTTTCAAATTTTTTTATTTTTGTTCTGTTTTGTTTGTTACCCTTTTGGTGAGTGGTGTATATTTCGAGCGCATTATCCGATCAACTTGAACTCGTGTGCATATGTTTCTGTGGGAAAAACAACGTCGACAAGAAGATAGTGTGTGTAAAATTGGCGCGTAATAAACTTCTGAAAAGAGCACTGAATTCTGAAAGTGATTCTTCTCTAATTCTGTTTACATATTAATCTCGTTGTAGCGTTGTTCCCCAGGATGCTTTGAAATGGTCACAGTGATTTTCTGCAGGATTTTCAAGTTTAATGAAAATTTTAGGTGTAAAATTGGTGCAAAACGGATTAAATTTTAAACTATAGGACCCTACAAGGGAAAGGGCTTCAATTTATGTGCAGTTTGGTTTATGTCCACGCAGTTGGAACAGATTGTGGACAGTTTCTTTCTTAATTCATCTTACTTTCTTTCCGTGGAATTTTTAGTGCTATCTCTTACGTATTCAATAGATTTTTCTCCAAACAAACATGTCCATTTCAGTACAGTATTTCACAATGCCAATCAAATTCATAATTCATGGCAACATTGCCTTTTGTCTGTTCAAAATCTCCAGATAAATCTGCGTGTGCAAGTATACTAAGCTGCAGTTATGGGACAACTTGCACAGCAACAACTCACACAGTGTGACAACTCACATAGTTTTTTCTGCTAATTTTTCTTAAAGACACAAGAAAGGTATACACTTTGGCTGGAACCTAAATTTGAAATAAACAAATAGATGAAAAAACTATTCAAGTTGTTGCACTGTGTGAGTTGTCAAGTAATCCTAAGCTGCGCATACTTAAGTTCAATTTATACCCCAGTTATTCAAGCATTGTACAGGCCCCTGATTTTGAAACATTTTGTAAACAAGTTCAGCCTATTTCATTTAGGTCATGAGACATTTCACAAATTATGTTCTAATTAATCTAATGCATTGATGCAGGCATGCAGTTGAATTGAATTAAAACAAAGCTTGATGAAATTTATATGTGCGCATAACACAGGCCCTGCTCCGCATATAAGCATAATCTAAAATAATCTTCAATGCAACAAATCATCCCTTACCACAAAACTACTGTGGAAGTTTTAATGAGTTTGTTGTTGCAAACTTCTTCGATTATATCCTTGTTCAAAAAGGGTTTGTATAACCTCGAGTCATGCAAATCAAACATAAGACTAAGACATCATCAAAGGCAAAAATAAATTTCCCCATCATCTCATTTTCTGCGTTTATCTGGATTCTTCTAGCTTTTTTGAAAAAATTTAACGGTCAACAACAAATATAATTCCTTCCTGATTTAGGTTTTCAGTGAAAGTGTCCCTGATGCTGAGTGAATTGATGTGTGACAGTCAAATTTTCTAATTTGAGTTCATTTTTTGGGAATGAATTTCTTTTTCCATCGGCTTTTGGGGTCAAGCAATGTTTTGAAACCATCCGTGGCATCATTGGACTTCTACATTTTTCTGCAGCCATATCTCTCTTCATCAGGACCATGCCGTGAGCTCGTAATTCTGGTAGATCCTCTGTAAATAGGCTTCATTTGCAGTAACGGTTTGAATGAACGGGATTTATACTGTAGTAGGCTTTGAATTTTTTAGAATTTCCTCTGAAGATCTCGAAAACTGATATGCAAGGTCTTCTGCTTCATTATTTTTTCGCACAGTATTATTGCATAGGGATCCTTCCAAAAGCCTCAAATTGTCTACAAAAGGAATAACTGCAGATAATGTCAAATATTGACACAAGGATTCCAAAGTCAGATCAAAACAAGGGTCATTCTAAGATTGAACATTGAAAAAGCAGCTATCATCATGATCTCAACAGCCCAGGTCGACTATGTCAGAGCAGCTTATGTTGAATGTCTTCGTTTTTGAATGTCCAAAATACAGCATTGATGCATTTTCGAAACTCCTCAAGTAAGTGCGGAATTTGGCTTCATTCTTGAAATTCAGCGGAACTGCGGATACCCCGGCGTACCCTAGAGTCCTGGACAGTACAGTATACCATTATCACTAAGCTCCTCAGCCGATGGTTTACTTTTTGATTTTAAGGATAAAAAAAACAGATTTTTGCCTGCCAAAGATGCATGAAATTCCCGGAATATGCAATAGAATCTTATTATTAAAAATACTCTATAATGATTTATTTTTTACAATAAAGTTGGATTTTATGCCTGAACCCAATAGCCTCAATGTCGTGTGAATTTCTTCCTTACATGTTTTGTTACAGTACAGATATATTTCCTGACTGCAATGGCTTATTTGTTCATGCCATATTTTACTGTAATATTTGTGCTTGGATGGCACTGACTCTTGGGTTTATGTATCATTTTTGGACACAAATATGAGGCTTTGGTCTTTTTGTTGGAAATGCCAGTAAAGAAAGAAAACTCACCTGCATAGCCAGGGAACCCTGAGGGTTGTTTGACATAAGGCATCTTGGTTTCCAACACATTGCCCATTTAAGGATAATAAGCTGGGCTCCTGCAGTACTGTTAGGTACTCAGCCAGGATTATCCATGAACAAAATGAGCAGATGCTGCTGCATGTGTTCAAGGCTTTTTTTTAAATTGAATGTGAAGCTTGGATTTGCTGCATCAGCATATTCATTTGACCAATATCATAGGTCAGATGAAATATTGTATGTGTATTGATCAATCATTATGAGCTCTACAAGTCAGTCATCCCTTAGATTAGAATATAACACTGCCGCTCACCTCATTGTACAGTAGATGTCTATAGGCTGTTCGAATCGTAGCCGCCAGCACCTCTCTGAAAGTTGATCCCATTTTTTTCTCATGAGAATGGACCATCCAGTTTCTGCTAAAAGATTTAAAATATCCAAGAATCTGTTTTTAGTGCACTTACAGTCATGCTATGATAGCTAGATTAAATACAGTTGAGCCTTGATAAGTCAAACCTCCCTAAGTCAAAATTTTGTTTCAAGTCCCCATCTGAATTCCCTTAAAAACAATGCATTAAAATCTTCCCTAACTTGTAGTCTTTTCCCCTCAAATCTCTGCAAGTCAAATTTTCTACAGCATTTTGCGTATTATTTTTGATACAGTACATGAAAGAGAACAGTAATAAAAAAAGTAAACCTATAGTGTGTTTCAAAAGGGAGTTATGGAATAATTGGGCAAAGGAACCCTTGCCTCTAAGTTCTACATGCTGTTAACTCTGTAAAGAAGTAATTTATAAGGCCCTGAATATCACCATTTACAATTTCCTGCAATTCCTTTAGGTTTCCCAAAAAATGCTTGTTTATCAAAACCTTAAATCCTCCCCACATGGAAACCTCCCCAAGTCAAAACTTCCCCAAGTCAAACTTTTTGCTGGTCACTTTGAAATTTGAATTAGAGAGGTTCAAGCATGGGGATAAAATAAGTACAGTGTTGTCTTAACCAGCTTAAATTTTTAGAGCAGAGTTGTTGATCAGACAATTCTTGCTAATTAAACCATTCAACTGTTGGTATCAAAGATTTGACTGTTTTCTGCATGCTTTCAAAGGATCAAAATAGACTTCAATAATCTTTACAAATGCGTCTTTTATTTCCATTTCACACAGCATAGAAATATATGAGCATGTGGCGTCAAGGTTCTCGCGTCAGATGTTCTGGGAGAGTAAACTTAACATAGTATTGTGGACACTCGTATATATAGACAAAACCCGTTTTGAGGTCAGCGCCGAGCCTAGCAACCGATTTGGATCGGTGTCAACATACTTGGTTGCGCATCAACCAATGTGAAAGGTGCATAGCATAAGAAGGCTTGTATATATGCATTTGCATATATATATAATATACGGGCGTATGCGTATAATTAACGTTGCGGAACCAACGTGAAGCAGACAAGAGAACCTCAGAAAGTGCTGTATATTGCGGTCCTGACTTTTATTGGACCACAACAGCTTCAAATCAATGTGAATGCAGTCATTTTCATATCATGAAAAAATGCAAACGGAGGAATAATCAACCACTCTCAAGTCATTTTGTGTTGCATTTCTGTATGTATGACTCATTGTGATGGTCACAGTTAATTATGCAAGAATCAGAAAGCAATAATGCTCCCAGCCTATTATACACTGTGATTTACTTCATGAAATGTACAGAAGATCAATACTATACAATATACATACTGCACACATATTTATACATCATTAGTAGAATAAACATCATATTCCTCTCATAATTCCAACTTGTGATTGCAAAAGCAAAAATGTATTTCCATGATTGCTGCAGAAGCAAAACTAGCTGAGGATCAAGATAATGTTGTTGAAACCATTCATTGCCTATACCAAGGGTGCTCAAGATACAGCCCGCGGGCCAAATCTGTCCCGCGGAGGCTTTTCATCTGGCCCGCGGAGCCAGCATGGAAAATCACCACACAAAAATTAAGACCCTCAAAAAGTAAAAATTGCAAGTTTTTCAGGACGTCTTCAGTCTGCAATTTTGATTATGAATTTTATTAGGGCTTCACAATAAATTCTGCAATGATTCCCCTAATAAGAAAGAACATTTTGCATTGATTTGTGATGTTCTGTTATTCAGATTAAAGGGCAGGGTTTTGCAATTTTGGAATGCAAATCCTATCCCAGCATTTTCTGTTGTGTTTT